TGTGTAACAGAAATAAACTGCAACGGAGTGATACAAATGACGGACTTCACAGACTCTGGGAATCAAGGGTCTGTGCGACTTGAGGATGACCTTCATAATGCCAATGACTGTGGCAATCACCCTCAAACACAGAAGACTGAGAACTTCCATAGCTGTAATTACAGTCAGCATAACGCTGACTCAGAGAACAGGCCTCAAGAAGCAATGTCGGACTCGTTGGTGCCCTTAGTTTCAGAGGATTCCATGGCGTGTCAGCCCACATCCAATGACAAGCAGTCATTCAATGCGCAGGAGATTAACAATTTTCAGGAAAGCATCCAGACAGAGATCCCTTCAGAAGACGAGAATGAGAATACTAGCCCGTCAGACAACAAAGGTATAAGGGGAACCTTGTAAGGCAGGGCTCCTTTCTCCTTGATGTGGGAGAGTTCTGTTACAACACTTCATCAGAGTATTAATAGAAATGTGCATTTTGTAGGCGAAGTGATCAGAACCACCTGGTTGAGATTTTTCCTGCCAGGAATAATTAACCTGACAGTTATACTTCAAGATGTTCACTGCTTGTAGCTCCTGGTTGTAGTTGCACCTTAGTTTTGACTTTTCAATGCATAAGTGTTCCTACTTTTAACAAGTACTTATACACTTGGTTTTCAGTGTAAGAACATCTCCTCCTTTGAATAAGGTGTTGCTTATTCAGTTGTGATTTTCACTAATAGTTAGAAACACAAGTTTACAAATTGTCACTGGCTGCTAAATTAGGGGATAAGTACTGTTCAATGTATTCTGATAGTGTACAGCAGTTTAAACACATTCCAGGTGTGTGTGTTAAAATATGAATGGATAAAACTGTCTACTTTTGCATCTTTGTGTCAATGTCAGGTAAAGTATATCTACTTGGAGAAGGAGGGCAAAACTAACATTTGTACTTGTTAAAAAAAAGGTATTCTAGCATTTTCTTGCCAGAGTACCACTGGGGAGTTACATGGATGAAAAGTAGCAAGAGAAGTTTATGTTTTGAAACTTGAACTGCAATTAGGTGGATGCGTCTGCTAGATTACTAGGCGTCTTTTGCTTCTTACGGCCCTTTTCCAAATTGCTGGATGTAATTTAGTGACTTAATATTTTTGCTCTCCACTGTGTCATTCAGTTTTCCCAATATATACTTTAGCTCTTGTAATTGTGTTGCAGCAGTGAGTGACGGGTATATCAAAAAGATAGTATAATATGGGGACTTTCCTTCTTCAGAGACTTAGGGATTGTGAGGCTTGTTCTGTTTCTGGCAATGCCCTTATTTCAGCGGTTTTTTTAAATATAGACAGACTTCTTAAGGCTGTGCAAAGAGTGCTGGGAAAGTCACTCTTGTATATGCTTACTTGTCCTTCTGTCCTTCTGCTTTGTGACACCAGTCAGTTCTTAATGGTGGTACTTCTGTTGCTGATAGTGGAGACTGCTGATTTTTATACCTAAGCATCAGGGAGGGAAAAGTTCTGATCTGTAAGAAAAACCCTTCCTGGCTAGGGAGAGGGTGATAGGATTTGGGTGACAGATGGTGACACTGTCTGTGTAGCTTTAATCAGCTGTTGTACACATTGCCTCTAGGAAAATCAACTGCTGGGAATTTCCTTCTTAATCCTCTTGAGCCCAAGAATGCAGATAAGCTCAAAGTGAAGATAGCTGACCTAGGAAATGCCTGCTGGGTGGTAAGTGTACACTGTTTTCACACTGACTGTTTAAACCTGCAAATTCATTCACAGTATGCCCAGATGGAAAATAATCTGTAAAAAAGGTTTTTAGACCTGGCTGTGAAAGTAGTGAGTTTGAAACTGTGACAGGGAGAAACAGAAGGGGAAGCAGGGACACTAAGAAAGAAATGGTCCTCTAAACATAAGCTTTTGGTCCATGCTTTGGGTGCCTCACTGGCATTAAATTTACTTCTAATAGCCCTGTGAACCATGTCACATACAGTGCATAGAAATCTGAGTATCTGATATTTCTGAAGGAGTTTGTAGCTGTCTTGGAGACTGTGAAAGTTGCAAACAATTGCTCTGATGTGCTAGTTCTGTAGTTTGTCAGACCATTTCAGTGGATTTGGGAGCCGCGTGAAAGATACTCGTGCAATAAAACTAAAAAGTTTTCTTTGATGGTTGTGCTGTGCTGCTTTCAAATGTTTGACATTTCAAATAGAAAAAATGTCTCTTTTACTTGGCTTCTAAAATGGCAAAATACTTCAGATCTTGTGGGACAGATGAGTCTCAACTCAGAATTGCACATCAGGCTTGCAGTGTCTGGCAGGGTGATCTCTTACATTGGTGTTGCTTATCTGATTTAAGGTAGCTGGATCATGGCCTCTCTGTCATGACTGGGTAGGAGAAGGGTGCATTTTCTGAAAGTCTTCCCTTATTCTGTTTTTGTGGCTTGCTTTTCTCTAAATTGCTGGACTGTTTCACTTGAGGAGGAGTGTCTCACGTAGAGCATTTAAACAGCACTTGTAGGAATATAAGGAAATAGTTAATGAGGATGTTAAATGCAGATGAAATGTAATGGTAATGAGCTTTGATCTACTGTGGCCTTCCAGGTTGTTGATTCTCCTCTTTTAAACAGTCTTTAACTTTTTAGTAAAACATTTCTTTTATTTAGCACAAGCACTTCACTGAAGACATCCAGACAAGACAGTACCGGTCCTTGGAGGTGTTGATAGGGTCCGGGTACAACACCCCTGCTGACATCTGGAGCACAGCATGCATGGTGAGTGGTGTCAGCTGGGGGATTTCACACTCTTTCTACAGAGCATTCTGGGGAACTCGTTTGTGCTGTGTGCTCTGAGCTGCTGAGTGACTGGCCAGGCCTGGCAAAAAACCCTTACAAGTGTTCAGTCAACTTCCAGACTTGCTGAATACCGTGTTTCCATAGCAGAGTTGTTTTATTTTTTTTTTTCCCCCATGTGTGGCTTTCCTTTTGAAAATTTAGTTGTACAGCATCAGCGGATTCCAAATGTGATTGTACTTTGCCCATTGTGATTTTTGGAAAAACAAGACAACCATGCAATTCTGAAGACGATATCTTTTTATATTAAAAAAGCCTTCCTGCTGTATCTAGCACTGTTTCACAGATGCCCTCAGTGTAATTTCTAATTTTCGTCATCCTCTGCGTGTTTAATCTGGTGTATAATCTGAGTAATGCTGAGATGAGGCTGAAGCTGTTCCTGTAATAGCTGGCAAATGTAGAATATGGTGATTAAAAAGATCAGTCTAGTCAGTTACCATATGTGCCTCTTTAGTGTCTCCATTCTGTGTTTTCTACCTATCAAAGCTTGGGTTTTATATTTTAAGCTTGGAAAATAGACATTTTTGCTGTTTTGAAAAACAAGCTGTGATTTTGACAAATGTGTTAAAAGAAAAGGTGACAGGGTCGTGTTTTCTCTGCAGAGCGTGTGGCCATAATTACACTGTGTGCCTAATTCAATAATTTGGCAACAGCAGTTCATAAAGAAAACTAAGAATACAGAAGGTCAGAGGTAGTATTCTGAGTACAAATGAATACATAAAGGGTAAATATGTTACAGAATTTAGGAGCGGTGCGTTGAAATGAATGCAAATGTTCTTCTCATTTAAAACATGTTTTCATATCTACAGACAAATGTTCAGAAATTAACTGAAAAAGGCCTCTGAAATTTGGGGAGAGGAAAGAATCTTTGTACAAAGAAAAAAAACCAACAAGCAAAACAAAACAAAAAACCAACCCCAGAAACTATAGTTTAGACATGACATCGTTTTTGCAAAATGCTGTTGAGGGGAGGAGGAGGACAGGCTACACATGTGTTTCACACTGGTGTCCTGCACTGTGCTGTGATCCAGAATTCATCATAGATGTGCCTATGATGTTTTTAATGGAGTTGTTAGAATGGTGCAAAGTCATTGCACATCTTAGGCTGTAATGGTGTACTTAACCTGCAAAAATCTCGCACACAGCTATAATCTTATTTTTCCCCCCCCGCTTTGCTTATGGCCCACAGAGGTTTGCACTGTGTTTTGAAGTGATTTAATGTGCTCATTTCTGTTTGTTTAGGCCTTTGAGTTAGCAACAGGAGACTACCTGTTTGAGCCTCACTCTGGAGAAGATTACTCACGAGATGAAGGTCTGTTTGCCTAAGTCTTCCCTTTTTAAAATGAGACATGAAATTCAGTGGTTGCCTCTTCAGAATGAGCCTTCTCTTTTGAGTGAGCAATGCAAAGGCTCCTTGCAGAAACATTATTTACCCAAATCCGCAGCAACTGTGCTAAAGCCTCTGCAGTAAAACACTGTGCAACAAGTCTATATTCTTGTTCTGGTGTTTCACATTCCTCTTGCTCCTGGATTCTCTACCTTGCATCTCAAACTGATCAGGGCTTCAAATTGCCCTTATTTTTTTTCTCCCCCTTGCCCCCTGGCTTTGTTGTTGCTTAGTGTAATCTTGATTTCAGGTTGATATCAAAGTAATTTTTAAGGCAGATAATGTCTTTCTTATATCCCAGAACAGGAAACGGCAGCATAAAGATGTCTTGTGTATTTTTGGTGTTGTTTTTTTTAACATGCAGATCACATTGCATTGATCATAGAACTTCTGGGGAAAATACCTCGCAAGCTCATTTTGGCAGGAAAATATTCCAAGGAGTTTTTCACCAAAAAAGGTAAAAGGAAACAAAGGAAATACCACTTATCCCCTCATCTTCTACCCCAAATACACAGTAATGTCTTGCTGGAACTGCCAGCAAAGATGCCTCTTTAAGTCTTTCCTTTGTTTTATGAAAGGCTTCATCAGTGAAACTGCAGCTAAATCTAAGGCATTCTTGTTTTACTGCTAAAAGTATCCTACATCCTAGTACTTGACATCTTGGTGTAGATCAAATGTAGCAGGTAGAAAAACAGTACATTAGATATTTAGTCAAATGATGTAGCTTTATTTAGCTGATCTTTGTCAACTAGAGGTGGTGACTCACTTTTGAAGACTTCTCTAGACAGCTTTGCTCCATTTCTAGCATGCCAGTCACCTTAAATAGTGCCTTGCATCATGAGCCATATTGCTCAGAGCACATAACATTATCATAAACCCCTAAGTACCCCAGAAATGTATTGAGTTGAAAAAGTAGGTTTTGACCTAATTTAATACTTTTTTTTTTAATAAAAACAAACTCTTTTTTCTTAGTAGCGTATTGCTTTCTCAAACAGTGCAGTATACATTGCATGTATTCCAAAGTCAATGGCATAGTGTTTGTCTGTCATGTCGAAGCAGTATAGCTGGTGATTTAATGAAGGTAGTATTTGCTTATATTGGATCTGAAATAGCAGGAGGTGAAAAAAGAACCTTTCAAGGAAGTACGTTTCTGTAATACGCTTACAAAGCAGTAGAAAAGGGGTTTTACTGTAATTTACTTCTCCCTTCAGCATGCCCTACCACATTATATTCCCTATGCCCAACTATTAGAACAGTTTCTGAATTCAATCTATGTTTAGCTGTTCAGCCTATTTTATTGAGCTGCTCTGTTCCCATGTCTTGCCAGACTTAACCTGTCTGTCTTGGGTTTTCAGGTGATCTGAAGCACATCACCAAACTGAAGCCCTGGGGCCTTTTTGAAGTGTTGGTGGAAAAATACGAGTGGTCTCAAGATGAGGCAGCTGCATTCACAGACTTCTTACTACCTATGTTGGAGCTGATCCCAGAGAAACGAGCTACAGCAGCAGAGTGTCTCAGGCACCCTTGGCTTAATTCATAGAAGCTTCAGTGCAGTGCCACAGCGTTACACTCTGGTTTACAGCATACCCTACACACACCCAGCTGCCCCTTCCCAGATCCATTGTTCTCCTTGTTCACTTTCAGTGTGAAGTTCTTCCTTCAAGGCTTCCAAGATTTTAGATAAATCTAACCTGTTCTGCTGAATTTGCTTGTGTGACTTAATGGGGACTTTCCTCAGCCAGTGGGCATCATCTGTGTTTCACCTTGATTGGGCTTCACCAAAAACTAATTGACTGGAATATGAAATCTTCCCTCAGTCTCCTCACTGTTAGGACCATGTGTTACAGATGTGAGCTCAGATGTGCTCTCTTAGCTAGATTTCAACTCTCCTTTCTTCATGAGGGCCATGCAAAGATCTCACTGACTCAGGAGTAAATTTCCCTGATCCAATAGCTAGTGACGGGGTGAGAAGTAACAGGTGGCATCAAGGTGGTGCCACATCCCTGTAGAGCGAAGACCTTGAAGTCCTCCATCACTTTCTAGGTATCTACTGTATTCTTTCCAGTCACAAACTTTTATTTAGTTCTAGCTGCTTTTGAAAAAGCTTTTTAAACCTAGGTTTTAGTATCCTTTATTTCTTCCTCCAAAGTGTCCTGTCCATTAACCTTTTCCTTCCCCATACCCTTGGTAGAATAGTTTCTGAACTTGGTGATATTTTCTACTTCAATGCCTGTGACTAAAAGGCAAGCAAAATAAGCAAAAGCTGGAACTGACTGAACGCACAATCTTCAGCACACAGATGGGTTCACCCCTTGGTCTGCAAAGTGAGAGCCTTGTTGCAGGCAACTCTTAACATTGTAGCAAGACGTAAGGTTTTGGGATTTTTTTTATCCCTAACTGGCACTTTTTTGCCTTGCTTGAGGTGGTTGCTGTATTTGTGAGAGACTGCTTTTCACAGATGCAGTTTACTCTGACTTTTAATTTTTGATCATTCACTTTTTCCCAAGGAAAGGGTTGCAGCGCCTGTATCACAGCCATGCCATAGCCCTGGACTTTCAAAATTAAAACTTGAAATCTCTGTAAAGATTTCTTTTCTCTTAATTTGCTTCAGGTGCGGGCCTTCAGAAATAACTTCCCAGGATGGGACTGCCTTTTATTTTCTGGGCCATTAGCACAGGAAGAGCTAGCAGAAGTGGAAGAGAATTGACTTTTCCATGTAGATACTGGGTTAGAAGCTGTTTCTAGAGTTACCCCAAGTAAAAAGTGTTCTATGGGGCTTCTATGTAAACTTCTCAGAGGGGGTTTGGATATAATGAGTTAAATGGGTTAATTTTAATTAAAAGTTAAATCACTGTGGCATTTGCTAGTTTTATGATGGCTTCTTCTAGAGTTGCCCATCCTATTACAGATTCAGTGCATCCCACTCTTCTCTAAGCAAGATTTGGCAGCGTTGAGACTTCAGAGGCACTTCCTTACTCTGGACCAAACAAGCCTTTGGATTTGTGGTGGCTTTCAGAGGATAGAAGTTGCTGGAGGCCATGCAGATGCTATCCAAGACAATTACATTGCCAAAGCTGCGAAGATCACTGTTATGTGTCACTTCTATGTGTGTGTTTGGAAATTTTGGTTTATAAGGATCGTTCATTCATAAACCGGATCATTTAATCCACTGGAAAAGAGTTTCTCTGGTTCAGAGCCTGATGGGGCTTATTTATGCAAATCATGCTGCATGTTCCTTTAGTGGTAGATCAGATTCTCTATGCATATAATATAAAGTGAAAGGCAGGTCACATACCAAAAATGTTTCAAACGGCTGATTTGACAGTTTTTTTTCCCCCGTTCATCTGGAGTTTTCTAGTTCTAGGTCTCTTCTGTATCTGTTACAGGACTGCAGACAGTACTGGGTTCCAACTTACTGTGAAGATACATTGGCAGGCAAACAATTCCTGTGCTCTTGAAAGCTTGCCCAGTCCTGCGTACTTGAGACTGGCTGATGAAGGAACATTTCCTAGAAGGGGTCTGCAAGCTTTGACTCTTAAGAGCTCCTGCCCATCCTTTCTTCCCTTTCATCTGCCGCCTCTGACTGGAGGAGGAGGTTTTTTACCCAGATAGCTAAGGCTAGAGCCAGCTTGGGAGTTAAAGACCTGCAGAAGCAGCTGTCACAATTCAGTCTTGTACTGTCTGCTTATTCACTTGGGGTTTGTTAAATTTCCAAGTTGCTGTAATGTGCTCACACTAAAGGATTTGTACTTGCTGTGTCAGTCTAAAACCTGAAGGAAAATACATTTTTATTCTTTCTACTTGGGTGCTTTGTCTTTTTTTTCTTCATGAAAGCCCTACAATAAACAGATCATTTAATAACTGAACCCTAGTCTTCATACATTCCCTCTGTAGGTCTGTTCTTTCTGAGTCAGTGGCCCGTGGATGAAATTTGCTTCAATAGTGAGTGATTTCCAGAATGAGACAGAGGGAGATGGTGTAGGTGAGGATTTTGTTGCTGGTATTGTGATCTGTTTCAGAAAGGGGGGAAGAGTAATAAATAGCAGGACAACTCTGCTGGAATTTTTCCATTCTAAAATACATTTTTCCTTAAGTTTGTCGTATCTCTGCTGTCTTCCCTAGCCAAGAATATTAACAAAACCTTCCCAGACACTTTTTTAGAAGGAAACATAAAATTGTAAGGTACTTGTTGGAACTGAATTGAATTGACTGCTACAGGAACCAACACATTACAGCAAGTAGAAATCAAAATGTAGACTAATTTTGGGTTCTGACAAGGTAAGAGCTGGACAGGATAATGTTCTGCTTTATCTTCTGCAGAAATGGACTGTGCCACAGGCTGCTGTGGGTGGGTGTTGGATGGGATGAGAGATGATGGCTAAATCAAGTTATGATGGCACCATCTGCTGTGGTTTGCAGGTGCTGTTACAGGCCTGCTACAGCCCAGCAGACTGGGTTTTGGTTTTGTTGTTTGGTTTTTCTTTTCCCGGGAAACTGCCCTTTTGGTTATTGTTGCATAGAGTGGGAAACTGATTTACCGCTCAGGTAGGAATTGGCTGTCATCATATTTTTCAAGTAAAAGTGCAATCTGGGACATGACAGAGGGTTCCCTCTGCCCTGAGCAGACTAACACAAAATCCAAAACACTGATTTTTATTTTACTTTTTATTCATAAGTAATTTCCTTGAAAGAAGGTGTACAAACCCCACAAAAAAAGCAGCAAATCACTGTCATTCCCCTCTTGCCCAGGACCCATCTTGCTGATGACCCCATGTCCAGTTTGGGCTCTTCCCATCAAATAAACTCCACGAGAGCTGTGAGCCAAGAGCAGCCCCATGGGTGAAGAAAACAGTTGTAGAAAATCCACAGAATTTGGTAAGTTTAAATCTCCTAGAAAAGTCACTTTAAAGAAAAGAGCTGATGAAAGAAGAGCTCTGGGTCTCCCTGGGAACAAAAAGAATAAGTCAGCTGTTGCCAAATGGAGTATGACTTCAAATTTTAAGCTTGTGTTATTTCATCATTTGGCAAGGGTTTATGTTTTCCCAGTTCTGGGATGCAAAGCAAAGACTATTTCCTCTCTAACCACAAATAAAACCAATGTGACTATAGCACCAAAACCAGTTGTCAATCGTTTAGTAATCAGAATACAACAGCAACGTTATGTGTGCTGGGAAGAAACATTAAAAGTCTGTGGGTATCACTTACGTGGTAATGAGCTCTGTCAGTCATTTCCCTCTTCTGTAAAACAAGAAGATAATTACAGTGTTAATGGGGTGTGGTATAAAACTCAAAAGTACTGGGTGTGTTTTACGGGTTTGTTTTCAAAAAGTGAGAAAACAATTTAAAACAGGATGAGGAGAAAGCCCCATGCCTGTGAAAGTTAGTATGGGTCCATTTGGCCTCCTGCCTTGTTCTCCATCAGTCTTCTGCCTGCTGCTGGCTCTCCATCCCTATGAAGCAGTGTGATGACTATGCCAGGAAGGAAGCCAGCATCCTCCCAAATAACAGCAATGAGCTGGGTGGTTGAAACACTGCAGCAGGACAGGACCCCAGAGCTCAGCCCTAGCTGTCTTTACCTTTATTTTCCACTTTGAAATCGGATGGGAGGAGGTTGTCCTGCCGGTTCCCCAGCACAAAGGCCAGGAAGGACAGTATGAGAGCGTCGAGGATGCCAATGATGCAGAGGATGTAGGCCCAGCGCACGGTGCAGGCACCCAGCGTGTATTTGTCTGTCTTGTCCCCACACAGGCGCTTCACCTCGCTCGAGTCCCAGCCGTCAGGGTAGATCAGGCAGCCAATCATCAGCCCAGTAGCTGCAGGGAGAGGGACACACGTTTCCATTGGGGGACATTACAGTGGCCACAAGTTGCATCCTGAGCTGATACTGGGAGGTGGAGGAGCATGGCTGCAAACGCAGCACTACAGACAGATAAGGCACTAGAGACTGGTTTGCCAGGCTTACAGGGGTCCTGTGGTTGCCCATCACTGTGGGCTCTGCTCTGTTCCACAGCTGGGGAGGAGCAGGATACAGTATGCTGCCTTCCCACAAGTCAAGGACATGCTGCACCAGCATCTCCCATCACTCTGTTGCCCAGGCAACATCTCTCCTGCCTCTGCATGCATCCTTGGCCATGTCACTTCAAAGGAATGTTTTCTCCAAACAAAACTGGAATGGGTTTAGTCTGTGCAAGATGGTGAACTTTCCTAGTACCCTGTAAGTAGCTGATTTCAGCTTAGGGTTTGCTAAGTTAGAGCTGGTGTCAGCAGCAGCTTTGCAGGCAGATTAATTCTGCTTGTTCAGCTGTAGTGGTTCCAGCCCAGCCACAACACGTCAGCTCCTCCTGTGATTGTTCTCAGTGTACCCACGACCTCAACAGCTGATCCAGCCTGGCCCCAGGGCCCTCAGCATGTCACCTTTGCAGCTTTGCCACGAGAGTTGCAACAACCTTGGTGCTGGCAGGCTGTTGAAGCTCCTGTTCCAAAAGCTTGGAAGTACTTTTTTTTCCCTCCCAACATGCCAGAAAAACTGTTGTATTTACTGGACAAGAAAAGTGACCGGGCTTGGGATAAGAGGCAAGTTCATCTATAATGCTTTGGGACATGATTAACAGAGGCCTTTCACATCCTCCACTGTTATCTTGGTGCAGAGCATGGAAGTAATTCGTGTTTTATGTGTTTTGGTGCAGATGCAGGGCTGTTCCCAACTCCTCTCACACAAGAAACAACCCCATGGTGGGACCTCTGGACAAGCAGATGTTTGTCCATGCCCCTCTTGGACATCTGCAGCCTCCTGCAGCAGTGAGATGCACCTTGCCCCACACCAGTGCCTCTTCTCTGTCACTGGGTGCTCAGTAAACCAGAAAAGACTTTTGAGGCAGTTGCTTTGTCCTTTTCCGATGTTTTCTTTTTCCTTGGCTTGGGGACAAGCGAGCAGCAAGGCGAGCAGGCAGCTTCCTTGGTCTGCAGGGAAGATTTCTCTTCACTGAAAAGCAGCTGGTTTATTCTGTATTTAATTAATCTTCCCTGTAACTAACTGAGAGGAGAGGCACAGAGAAATGGGGAAAGCTGGAATGAAATAATTTCTGTGAAAATGCACCCTGGTACACAGCAAAGGCCAGGAAGTGAATCCTCTCTAAGCCCGCCCCCTTTGTAAAGTAATTCCTAAAATGCAGCAGCACCTGACCAGTTCTGCCTGTGACATGTTTCTCTTCCCCCATCCAAAACAAAATAAATACAGGTAAAAGCCCCACATACCACAGCAAAGCCTTTCCCTGCTCCAGTTCAGCTCCCCAGGATGCTGAGCTGCCCCAAGCCTCTTATCTAAATCTTTGCTTGAGCTCGCTTCTTTAGCTGGGAGCTGGAGAAACCCTGATGGACGTCTCACGGGGTGTCAGCTGGGCTGTCCCTTCCGTGGGAGCTGTGGCATGAATGATTCAGGAGCAGCAAAGGGCTGGGTTGGGTTTCAGCTGAGGCTTTGATCAAAAACAGGAGCTGGGTTACCAGGTGTCTCAAGTGCATTGGGAGAGAGGTGGGGAAGGCTGGAGATCCACAGGGGTGAGCAGAAAAGTAGGAAAATGCAAGTGATGGTACCAAGTCATACCAAGTCAGTCTCCTCCTCCTCTTGATCTTCCTAGTACATTATTCCCTGAGCTCACAGAGTTATTAAAATAGCCCAGCAAATGTTATCACTGTCTCCCTGCTTAATTCCTTCAGGATTCCAAACACAGCAGGGAGCTCCATGCCCCAGTCCTGCGGGGTTTTTGTGCTCTCAACTGATACTCCAAAGCCACGAGCTCGCTGCACAGTGGGGCTGAGCAGGAGCGCTGGCTGGAGGGAAGCTCCTCCAGGTAAGTGGAGCCAAGCAGGGGCCGGGCCGTAGGTGCCACGCGGTTTTGCTGCAGCAGCAGCACCCAGGGGGACGCATCGCCCAACATGCAGTGAGTCTGCTGTGTCTCAGCTGCTCTGACAGGCTTTACTTACTACAAACTCCACACTGGTAACCAGTAAGGGAGAGCAAATGGCATGAAGGTGACACAGGTGTCTCTTTACAGGCCAGCCCCGCTCTCAGCAGGGTCGAGGTGGGGGCAAAAAGGGAAAAGCGGCTCTGGTCGGATCATTGGCAGCTCCCGGCCCCTCCCGTGCATCGCCCCAGCCCTGCTCACCTGCTGCCAGCTGCATCCAGGCACACACTTTATAGACAGTGGCTGCGTTACAGAAGAAGAAGAGGCTGAAGCAGAGGATGGAGCCAATTATGAGGAAGGTGGATATGCCTACGAAGAACATGGCAGTTTTGAAGGCACTGGAAGGGATGGTGCCGAAGTCGAGGGGGCTGCCCTTGCAGATGAGCTCCCCGGTGAGCGCGTTGCCGATGCAGTAGGAGAAGAGGCCGAAGTAGCCGGCCTGCGGCGTGTCGATGCTGTCGCCGATCCAGTACGGCTGGATGAAGGTCACCACCATCAGGATGGAGAAGCAGAGGGTAAAGAGGGCCCAGAGCACTCCCATGGCCCGCGCATTCCTCACGTAGTTGGTATGGTAGATCCGGGCCGCTTCCTGAGCCGGCAGCAGCTTGGACATGGCGGGGCTCCCGTCCCGGCCCCGCTCCCGGGGCGCCCGGAGCGGCCCCGCCCGGCAGCGGCAGCGGCTGGACCGCCCCGGGGGGCGGTGGCGGTGAGACCTCCCACACACCCCCAACGAGCCGGGGAGGACCCGGGAGGAGCCGGCACGACCCCCGCCCCCTGAGCCGGGGAGGGCGCGGCAGGAGGCGGGCGGCGCGGCTCGAGGGATGCGCTTCTGGGATGGGCCCCCGGAATGTGCCCCGAGGGTGTGCCCTGTGTCCCTGGAATGCTCTCTCGGGATTTGCCCTTTGCCTCCACCGTATGCCCTACCATGCACCTTAGGATAAGCCAGATATCCCCAATGTGCACCCTAGGATCTGCCCTGCGACGCACCCTGGGCTGTGCACCAGAGTTGCACCCTGTGCCCTGCTGTGCACTCAGGGGTGCACTCTATCCCCCGCCTTGCCCCAGAAACGTGCTGTGTGCCCTGCAATGTGCCATGCACACCCAGGATGTGTGGCAGGATGTGCTGAGCTGCACTGTGTACCCCTGGATGTGTCCCAGGATGTGCCACATGCCCCAGGATGCATGTTGGGATGCACCCTGGGATGTGTCTTGCCCCCCAGTATGTGCTCCAGAATGTGCCAAGGGCTGTGCCATTAGCCTTGGGATCCCATCAGGCTCTGCTGTGTGCCCTAGGATATGTCCCAAATTCTGTGCCTCCTTGGCTGCTCCCTTCCGGCCTCCCAGCCCGTGTCACAAGGGTCTTCCCCCACTGGTGGGGAGTACATAGGGTGCTGCATCATTGGGGTGGTGGACTGCAGGCCCTTTGACCCCCCATTGTAGCCTAAAATTGGCTCTTAAAGAAACCTTTAAGAGTCAATTTGTGAGTTTTAGAAGCCAGGCATTCTTTATTACAATGCGCTGTATAATCACAGCACTGCCCCGGGAATCAGTTCACTGAAGTGCACACAGAGGTATCATCTTCACTACAGCTTATATGTCAGTGTTACATGATTATTCATTTTTCGTTCCCTGCATTCTTGTTGCATATTTATGACATTTCTCAACGCTTTTTAGCATGCATACATATCCCTATAAGGTCTTTGAGGGGCTTCATCAGTGATCTCTGTTGGTTGTCCATGTCTGGAACCCCCAAAGTTCCAAGTAACTGCCTTATGAACTTCAAGACAATACACCTGGTTATAGAGGAACTGGGTGTTGTTTGGCTGGCTGCCTCAGTTCCCTTCTTTATTGTTTCTTTACTTTGCTTAGTTAGCCCCTTTAAATCACTTGGCTCAGCTATATGTAGTTTCTACGGTACATTCCTCTGTAAAAATTGTTAGTTCTTGTTCCATCTCAAAACTCAGATATCACCACCAGCTCCAGGGCTGACTGGGGCTGCAAGCAGGCAGGGGACCATCCCCACAGTTTCACGGCAGAAAGGGAAATGGCTTATCCTGCTACAAGGACACACCAGAGTGTCAGCCAGCACCTGTGGTAGGGCCAGGTCTCTGCCCAATCCCCATGTTCCCATGTCCCCATGCCAGAGGAGCATGGGCAGCCCTAGAGCCTGCCCTGACAGGTTGCAGGCACTTGCAGCCACCTTGGGACCTCTCTCCAGGAGCCACATCTGCCTCACATCCCGAGAGACCACACAGGTTCAGCTCCTGTCATGAGGACTGGATGCCACACGCCAGCGTGACAGCCATAGCCAGCGTCATCCTCGGCATCACCCCTGCAGCTGTCAAAGATCAGGGCTGCCTGGCCATTAATCATTGCTGAGAACAGCCAAGCATGAAAAGCTGTGCTGTTCCCAGGGCTGTTTTCCTTTCATCAGCTGCAGCCCCCAAGCACTTAAACATAGAGCAAATATTTGGCAGGGCAGGGTGAGGTTCTGGCCCATGGGCTGGGGACGTTAGTGAGCTCTGGAGCACTGAGAAAGGCCAGCAGGATGCTTGCAGGGGGCCGAGCTCTCTCTTGTATGCTTGGGTTTCTTGGCATCTGTGATCATACCATTTGAGTGATGGAGGATCTGGTGGCGGGCACTTTCTCATGGAACAGAGCTCCTACCATGGCACCAGCCCTCACTTTACCTGAGAACCCCCCAGCAGAGCCCAGCAAGGAGGGCATTTCAGAGAACCTCAGCTCCACAGCTCGCTGTTGCAAGGTGAGGGAGAGGAGGGAGGACTGGAAGCATAGGAGTGCCATTACTTTGCATTCACTTTGGCCAAAGGAGCTGCCAAAGGGCAGGTTGACATCGCCAGCAAGGGACAGTCACCTGGGAATGGGAGCTGGTAGCACTGGTAGCACAGGCATCACTGTTTCCCTGCCCTGGGCGGTGCAGCACTGCCCTAATGCCACGAATTGAGATGTGATAGGAGCGGCCACGTCAGCTGATGGAGACACCGGCTATAAAGTGCCTGCTGGCCCCATGGTGGAGGCACAAGGGAGCCCACCATGGCCAACGTGGTGCCTGCCTGCCTGCTCCTGGCCCTGATGCTCCTGGCCCCAGCCCTGTCAGCACAGCAGGAACGAGGGCTCATCTTCAACTTGGTAAGAGGAGACTAACCATGATCTTGGCACACTGGGGGTTACTCCAGTGCTGCAGTGGGGCACACAGTGCATGGAGGGTTGGAGGTGTCTGCGGTGCTTTGGCCTCCGGCAGCAGTTATTTGAGGGACCCCCAGGATGATGGATGCAGACACCAAGAGCAAAACTTATTGTGTCTGGGAAAACTGAGGCAGGTGGGGATGACGTGCTGGGTTTTCCAGAGTTGTGAGAGATCTTGGAGCCCGGAAAAGCAGCTGTGTAAAGGAATAGGGAAGTCATAGAGCGAATGAAACTAAAGCTCTCAGCTGCCTGAGCCAGACAGAACCCCCACCCTGGGTGGCTCACAGGGACTGGGGAGGGGAGATGCTTTCCTCTGGTGTCTCAGCCCTACTCCCGTGAGCCCCACAAAAACAGCACTTCAATGGGTGGCATTTTGGGCCAGACTGAGGAAATGCTGCAGACTGGGAGACTCAGGCATGCTGGCAGTGGTGCTGACCCTGAGCTGAAAGGCAGAGCTGGTGTTTGACACCCACCCAAACCCCCTGGGCCCACAGCTAGGGGGGGATCAAAGGGGGACAGAGAGGGACCTGGTGCTCAAGCCCTGCCTTGTCATGCAGGAGATTGGGGAGCTGTGCCTGCAGAGTGTCCAGTGCAAGAGTGGCTGCTGCCACCGGGTCAGTAGCCTCAGCATGGCTCGATGTGCACCGAAGGCAGCCGAGTTCCAGGAATGCACCCCAAGGGTATGTACTTTCCTGCTCCCAGGGGTGGCTGGGGATGGGGGCATGTCCCCCACACTGCACTGTGTCTTGGTTCCCTGCAGAACATCTATGAGGTCTATTACAAGTGTCCCTGTGAGAGTGGCTTGACCTGTGATGCTGATAAGACCATCGTGGGCTCCGTTACCAACACCAACTTCGGCATCTGCAAGGACCCCCGGGGCTTCTACAGGCGGTGAAGAAAGAGACCCCCTGGAGTCCCTGCCCCTGCCACCCTGCCTTTCCCCTTCCTAGGGATCCCTGGATCTGGCTGTGGGAGACTTTGAGTAAAGAGCAGCTTCTGCTGAGCTGCAAGCCAGCGTTTTCACTCGGCGCAGGCCCCCTGGCCCGGGATGGGGACAACAGGGCCAGAAGGTCCTGAAAAAAGCCACAGGGACATGATAGTTTTACCTATATGTGTGTGCAATCATATAATAATCTGGTCTAGGTCAGCAGAGAGCCATGGGGTGAGCTCTGCTCAGGGGTAGTGTTAGCAAAGGGGGCACGGGGGAGAGGAAGATGCAGCAGCCCCAGGATATGAGGGAGATACTTTGGTTGTGCTGGACTTGTTTTATTTCCTGCTGTGGCTGCTCTGATTGGAAACATTTCCTAGAAAAGGTTTTTTACTAGGGAAGAGGAACTTGCAGGGGTTGTTGAAGCTGTGGGTGCTCAAGGTGTTTGGTGGTCATGTCCACCTCCCATGTCATGCCACACTGTGGGCTCTGGATGACCATGCCTGCACCTCCTCCTCAGGGTGAGCAGAGGTGGCCAGGAGGTGAGAGGTCAGCCAGGTGGGAGTCCTCCCTGAAAAGGACCTTGTAGGGGCAGCAGTTGTAAATGCCATGGGAGACCCTCATGCAGCACCTCCATCAGCATCTTGTAGGGTATCTTCTCTGGCTGAAAGATGTGCAGGGGCTTTGGGAATTCAGGATGGACCTGGGGAGAGATGGTGCTGGGAGCAGCCCTGGCTCGCAGTGAGGTGGCAAATCCCCTAAGCCCTGACCCCGGCAGAGCTGTGCCCTGGGCAGGGTAGCCTGCAGGGTGCAATGCCCAGCTTGGAGTCAATGTTTTGGGCATGGGGGGGGAGCACAGATATACTACAGCAGGATGAGGAAGAGGAGGCACCCATCTGGCAGAGCTGAGAAGGGAGCAGGAGATGAAGGGGTCATCAGAGAGAGTGTTCTTGGCTTCTCTCATGCAGATTTCATGCATGTTTTTTTGCCCTGGGGGCATGGCAACAATCAGGCACCCCCAGTGCCACTTCCCACTGCCCCAAGGGGCTCTGCACCAGGTAGGGAGGCCACAAAGCCTGGGGGCCATACCTTGCAGCTGAGAACATGCTGTAGGAAACTTTTTTTCCAGGAAAACGGTGACTGGCAGCTTGAGGATCTGAACCTGCAGAAGCACCAGGGACACGTCTGGGAGGGTGGCACAGCTTGGAGGGTCCCCATTGTGGCAGCGTGGGGACCTTCTGGCCCCTGAAAGTTTGACTCGGCAGAGCTGCAAGAGGAGAAAATTCTGACCTGGATTTTAGTTTTAAACTTGTGGTGGGTGGTGAAAGCTTTGAGAGTCTTGTTCTCATCGTAATGGTGGCCCTGGCAAGAGGCCACCAGGTGAACGTCCTCATCAGTGCACCCCCTGGTGTGCGTGGGGTGCTGCCAGTCCTGGGGACAGGGGGACCCTACACTAGCGTAGGGGCAACCTAAGTTGGGAAGGGGGATATGAGCAGGGCATCCTTGTGCAGGCAGGTTTTGCTGCAGCAAGGTTCCTTGTGGGAGGACATGTGGGAGATGCAGCCCCCCAGCAGGGACCATACTTCATACCGGGTAATGGAGAGGAACAAGCATTGGGGTACTCCTTCCTCCCTCAGTGCTTTGCATGGGGTTTAACCCTCCTTGGTTAAAAAGCAATGAGGAGTATGAGACTGAAGGGATGTTGGGGTGGAGGGCAGTCCAAGACCCTCCCCAGCCTCACCCCATCATCAGGATTGCACCCCACTGTCAAACCCCATCTCCTCCTGTTCACCCATGGGGTGCCCTGCTTACCAGGGAGGTGTGTGGAACATTTCACCCGCCTGAGTGTCCCCCCTTCCTGCCTCCCCTGTGCTCCCCCGCCCGCCCTGGCTGTTGTTACTCGAGGGTACAGGATGTTCTCACTCAGCCGAGCTCCTCTCCCCCCTCTCTCCCCCCTTTCCGCCAGCCCTTGGCCTTCACCTCTTCTCCTCTGCACTGCTTTAACTCTGTTTTTTTTCCAAAACATCACCTTTTCCTCTTCCTCTTCTTCTGCCTCTTCTTCTTCTTCATTTCTTTTTAATTTCTGCACAGATGCACTGATGCTCCTTCTCTGCCCCTCCTAGGGAGTCCCTGCACCGTCAATTCACTGCATCTTCAGTGGTGTGCCCACACAATGCCCAGCTTTGCAGACATCCCCAGCAAAGATGCCCTACTCCCAACCTTGCAAAACATTCCAAGAAAGAAAGTGTGTGTTGAGCTGCCTCTCTGGCTTTGCCTTTGCATGTGACAGAGGGAACAATGTCAGACACTCTCCTTTTTTCCCACTCTGATGCTTTTCCCTGGAGTTGGAACAGGAAAGGACCTGAGTGAAGGGCAGGGACCTGCTCCAGGCAAACCACAGCCCCCGGGGTCCCAAAACCTGGGTATGAGGGTCTCGGTCTCTCCTCCATCCTCAGGGTTGGCTTTGGGGCTGGAAGTAGGGTCTCTTGAGGAGGCTCCCCCATCGCAGAGCAGCCCAGGGCTGAGGACTGCCCAGCTTGGGGCAGTAGTGGAGGTTGCAAGTGGGACATGGGGGACGCAGAGGTGGCCCTGGAGGACATCCAGGCACCCCCCACACCTCCATGAGCCCCTCATGATGTTGTCCAGCAGGGCACAAGTGGAAAAATCCTCAGACTGAATAATTTGCCCTGCTGGAAGAATTAATTAGTGCAATACAGGGATGTGAGGAGGGTGGGTGGGGGAGGCTGATGGGCTGCCTCAGCCTCGTGAGAGCTCGACAGTAGGTGCTTTGCTACAGCCACTTTGTGGGGGTGGTGTCAAGCTCGGATCCCCCTTGATGAGTATTTTTAGCATTAAATTCCCTGAAATGCTAGTGAGCGGGGCTGGGGGAGCGGGCCAGCCCCATAGGTGGGAGAGGAGATACTGGGGGGATACGTGGTGTGGCATGGCATTGCTGGGGATGCACTCTGGGGGATGCTGAAAGGGGTGTTAGGGTTGATGCTGGGGGTTGATGGCGGGTGTGATCCCAGGGGCATTGCTGGGGGGAACGCTGGGGGAATGCTGGCTGATGCCGGGGGCCACGCCGGTCTTCACCAGCCAGGGGACCCGAGCGGGACCAGCCGCTTGGAGGTCCCGCAGTGGCCCTGCCCGGTCGCCTCCCCCCTCCGTCCCCCCCGCCCCCTCCCGCCGCTGAGTCAGGCTGTTCCTGGAGCTCCCGCAGCCGGTACATCGCGTCCCCACGCCAAGCCCTGGCACCGCGCCCGCCCGCCCGGTGCTGCTCCCGGCAGGGGCAGGGCCCGGCCCGGCGGCTCCTCCGGGCTCCCGGGCTGCGGCTCCCGGGAGTGGTGGGGCTGAGGCGGGGGGCGAAGCCCCGGGAACTGCCGGCGGGACTTGGGGGGACGCAGTCGTAGCACTGGCCCGAGGATTGCTTGTACATATCCCTGCCGGGTGTGCCCTGAACCCAGGGCTCCCCGGGCACCCAGCAAGCACTAGGGCACCCGGGGGGGATCTCCCCGGAGTGTTTTCGGGCCTCAGACCCCTCTAGCAGGAGCATCTCCACTGCAGGGCACAGCCTGGCTGCTGAGCGTCCTCGAGGGTATTGCACCCTTTGCCACCCCCGCACCCAACCCAAAAGAGAGGTGCCAGCCTGCACCCTCCCACCCGGACACCCCCGTTCGAGTGGGGCAGGTGAGGAGCCCCAGCCACCCCCAGCCATCCGCCCTCCCCGGCGGAGGCTGGTACAGTTCGTTATGTCCAGACCGGAATGTACTTTGTGTTGGAAGTGGCCACCAGCCAGGACGGCAAAGCCGGACTTTATTTATCCTCCCTGCTCTGGCCCCGCTGCATCCTGCCCTTACTTGTGTGGGGCTGGATCTCCAGCAGGGCTGGGGGAGCCCTAGACTCTGTCCACCCCTCATCTGCTCATCGCCAGCTGGGAAGGACAGGGATTTTCCCCCTTTCCTCAGAAGATAAATAATCTGGGAAAATATTTGTGTCCTTTCAGCTTGTAAAAGCTGTCCCTGGTGTCTGGAAGGAAGTGTCATAGGGAAGATGGGGATGCAGGGATGGGTCCAGCCCCAGCAAAGCCTCTGGCTGGAGGTGCCCCTGTCTGCTGGCAAGAGGGTTTTTTGCAATGGGACCAGAATTTGGATCACAGTCTGGTAATTTATGGATTGGAAATACATGTAGAAAGAGCCAGCCCTAGCTGTGATGCAGAATGGAGCAGGATCAAGCCTGTGATGGAACCAGGGCTTCTCTGGTGGTCCCCATGTGTGGGGGGTATGTCTTGGCCCCTCTGCTGTTCAAAATTCATTGTAGGAGCCATGAGTCCAAGCTAAGAGAGGGACGGTGTTGCAGCCTCAGGACGGATCAGAGGGATTGCCCCAGGCTGGGTCTGACCAGTCATTCCATGACTAGACACAGAATCCCTCCTGTGGCCTTTCCAGTAGGAGGATTTGGGGGGGAATTTAATATAGAAAGCAGCTTTCCAGCTGCTTTGCGCCCCCGGGTCAAGTTCATGGCTAGGCTTCGCGAACGAAGATTTGGGAAGGCTCTATCCACATTTGCTACAGGCACGCTGGTGGCTTATGAGGCCAATACGTGACAGACATATCCGATTGCAAAAGGCACAGCAGAAAGACTCCTTAGATGGTGTATTCTGCAATACACGGTTCTTTCTGCGTTGCCTTTTTTCCTCGAGAGTGATCCTGTGTGCGTTCTCGAAGGAGACAGCTGCGTTATAGATGGTGTGTCTCCAGGCCTCCTGATTTGAGGCCAGAGTAGACCAGTTATGGTGATCAATATGGCCAAGGCTGAGATGTTGTTTCAGGGAGTCCTTGTATCTTTTCTTCGGGGCTCCTCTTGCCCCGGGTCAAGTATCCTCGTACCAAATGAGTGGTCTTGCACTACTGCCTCCATTCCCCCATGCCCTCATGTCCACCCTGTCCGTCCATTCCTGCTGTCAGTGCAGCTGCACCTACAGCCAGCAGCGAGGACACAGTGTTCTCCTGTGTTCTGCTGCCTGTTGTGCAACACCCGGCTGCACCTCCCATAAACACACAACTTCCCATGACCACGACGCCAGGCTCCTGCCACACTGCACCCCTCTGCCTGAGACAAACTGGGCCCTTGGAGGGGTGTACATACAGGGGGTACAGGTGGGCGAGGCCATGGCATCATCAGGCTGCAAAAAACTGCTTTGATCCCCCAAATGGGCAGTGGGGATCTGGGTACTGGGGGAACGATGGATTCGATCCCCCTGGGAAGGGAGCATCTTGCATGGGTCATCTAGCCCAGGACCATTGATTTGTGCTGCCACACACAACACCGAGAAAACCCATTTCTTCTACTCTCCAAGGCTTGAGAAATTGACTGATGTGACTCTTCACTGTGAAACTGAGGTGGAAGGACTCCTCTCCTCCTCATGCTCTCGAGGCAGATTAACACTGGTTATTTTTAGCAGAAGACAAGGATGAATAAAAATATCCCCTATTATTTTTAAATTTTTTTCTCTTTCAGGAACTGCTGCTCTTACCTCACACAAGGTGCTTGGGAGCAGCACAAGGCAGGGCAGATTTCTTGGCTTTGCTCCCTTGTTCCAGTGCAGGGCAAGACTTTCCCCCAGACTCCCTGCCCTTTTGGGGCTGGGCACAGGGCTGGGGCCGGACATGTTAAGCCAGCTGGACGGTGAGGGGGAACAAGCAGTACCCCTGGCAGCCGCCCCAAAACCGGACAGGATTATTTATGGAACAGATTTCCTCCAGGTTGTGTTACAGGGATGTGGGTGAACGGGGCAGACCCCAGCACTGGCCAAGTGGGAGATTTTGGACATCTCACCACCCAAGAAAGCAAAGTGAGCTGAGGGGTCCAGTGCTGATATAGCACTGTTTTGGAAGATGTCTTTAAAAAAGGGAGCTCTAGTGCTTTCTTCCCATGTGTTTTGTGTGATTTTTTTGATGCAAATTTACTATTTTTGCAAGGTTTTCAAGGACAAACCAGGCTGAACCCCCTCACTGCCGCCATTGGTCCCACGGGATTTTTCAGGGCTTAGGTGTTATTTTGGGGGCCTGACAGAATTAAGCTATGTGGTTTTCTAATATTGAAAACACACAGGTATTTTTTTTTTTTTTTTGTAAATGGAAATGTTTAAAACCAAAATGCAAGATTCACCTGGGTCATTTTAGAGAAGGAAAAATGAAATGTTGTGAAAACAATTTTTTTTTTCCCTAAAGTGGGCTTTAATTTTAACTGTATTTCTGATAAGTGACATCAGTGTCTAAATTACAGCTGGGGAAATTGAACTCAGAATACAGAGCAGACCTGTGAGAAAGCACCTGCCAAGGCAGTGCTGCCTTCAGCTTGGCCCTGGGGGTTTTTTTGGATTAACATGTGGGAATCAGGGTGCAGGTTGGGAGCAGCAGGGACTCATTCCAACACAAACCTGGTAAAAAAGGACACTTTATAAAGCACTCAGAGATGCCCCATTTTAAATCTGTCCCCAACTTTCTTTTGCACCTCTTTGCTCAGGCGCTGCAATTAGCTGAACGTGCATAAGCAGTGATGAGATGCTTAATTGCAAATGTACATTATTTCTAATCTCGGGGGGTATTTTGAGGCAGCTTTTAACAAAAATCTTATCTCCTTCATACCGAAGTGGAACATTTCTGCGCATCCCAGCAGCCAGTGTGTTCTCCAAACCCACGTCTCTCTGTCCCTAACTGCGGAGACAAATTTTTCACTCTCTAGTGCGGAATTTCCCATTACAAACCCCGAAGACCTTGCAGGCGTTGAGGCACCCATGGGGCGTTGTGGGGGGCTGGGGCACTTCTGGGGCATCGCACGGGGCTGGTTGTGTCTCTGGGGCCGGGGTGCCCTTGAGGAGCTCGTCTGAACCTGGTCCCCCGTTCTCCCCCGAGGGGGACAGCCCGGGGCTGAGGGAGCATTGGAGCACTTCATGGAGCCGACCCCCGCGGGCACCGCTCGGGGCCGGGACCCCGCGGAGCATCGCTCGGGGCCGCTCCCGCCCGGCTTCGCCGGCCCCGCCCCGGCAAGTGCGCGGGGGCGACCGGGGGGACCGAGCGGTCCGGCCCGTCGGGGGCGGGGAGAACGCCCTCATTTGCATATGCCTCCAGTGGAGCCAATGGGAAGGCACAGCGGCCGTCCTGGTCGGGACGAGCCGGCGGAGCGGCCAATGGGGCGCGGGCGGGGCGGGGCCGCGGGCGCGGAGCCGGGAGGCGCAGCCGGGCGGGCGCGCGGGGTCACTCGGAGCCGGGCGGCGGCGGCGGCAGGTGGGTCTGGGGCGCTCGTGGGTGCCACGCGTTGGGCTGTGGGGTCCGGTGGGCAGTCTGTGTGGGGCTGAAGAAATGCCGTGGGTAAGGGAGGCGAAAGCGTGGGGTAGTGCGGTGTTGGGGAGAGGCATTCGTGGGGCCGATGGACCCTGCCTGGGGCTCCGTGGAGGGCTTCGGGGTCCCGCGTGGGGCTGGAGCATCGTGTGGGGAAGGAGATGGTGCCCTCAGCTCTTGTTGTGGGATGAGGATAGGATGGGGGTTCCCACCCCATATAGCCCCCTCCGTGCAGGGAATGCCCGAGAGAGTTAATGCGGAGGTGCCCGAAGTGTTGCTGGAGGCACTGGGGTGCGCTGGGTGGGGAGGGGACGGGGCTGTCATCATCTGTGCCAGCGAGATGGTGCTCGACGGAGGGCATTTTTCTTTTCCCGCTTCACCTCACTAGACGAGGCTCCTGGGCGCAGCCGTAGGGTTTCCTCTAACACCACCGGCCAGAAAGACCCTGCAGGGTGTGTGCATTACTATATAGTGCCTTAGGCAGCAGGTATAAGTAGTTGCTCAAGGTAAATGTGATTTTTTTTTTCTAACTTCTGCTATTTTTCCCTCTCTCTGGGCATACAAACTCTTTCAAAGCTTCTGTTTTTAAAATGAACGTTCTAGTGAACTTACTCTTCTCAGGAGACAGTATTTTACACAATGAGCTATAGGAACTTGTGGGTGCTGGTGCAAAAAACCCTTAAAAAATAAAGTAAAAAAAAAGGCCAGGAGCTGATACTTTACGGTTTTAAACATAGAGTTTAAATAGTGTCTCACCATAATGGGCTATTAAACTGTTGAGGTGGATTTGGGATATCACTGGGATATCAACCCCAGCCTGGAAACTGGCAATAAAAGTTAAAAAAGAGAAGTTGAAAGCACAGATCACTCCTTCCTTTAAAATGTGGGAAAGCTGTCTCCCTCCTGCCTCCTTCCCTGCCCTGTTGAAAGGCTGGGGAGAAGAAAATAATTAAATACATCTGGTAGAGCCTGTATCTGGCTTTTATGGGCTCTTTTTCTGAAGGTGTGGGTTTGATTTGGATGGCAGTGCTGCAATTTGGAGATACTTGGGTTTTATTTCCAGCCTGGTACCCTGGAGATGACTTGGGTTTTATTTCCAGCCTGGTACCCTGGAGATGGGACAGAACTGCTGGGGGGACAGAAACGCTGCTGATGGAGAGGGAACCGCTGCCAGGGGATGTACCAGGAGTGTGGGGTTGAGCAGGAATAACTTCCCAGTGGTGCTGAGAGTTTTGCAGCCCAAAGGTGGGATGCTGGTCTTTGGAAGCGTGCTAGTCCTTGGCCCTGCAGCTTGATGACAGCAACTTGTGTGATGCAGGAAGGGGAAGGAAAGGTTGGGATGGAGCTGGGTGCTCACAGGAGCCAGTGGTAGTGGGGTGCTGGTGGAGGAAGGGGTGGCTGGGGCTTTTCTGTGGGCTTGAGATGGTGGAGCAGGTGGGTCTTGTGCTAGGGAAAATATGTGGTGGCATCGAGAAAAGGAGATTTCTGGAGAGTTGGTGGAGAAGTAATTTCTTCTGCTGAAATGCATGGGGAGGGGTGACAGCATGTGGCCTCTCTGGTGGCTTCGAGTCTGGAGGATGGAGCGGGACTGGTGCTGGAGGGGGTCCAGTGGGGAAGCTGGCATGATGGGGGCTGTTCATGGTGCCTATCCTGCCCAGAGCAGAGGTGTCTGCTGGGATCACTACTTGTGAAATTATTTTTTCTTCTTTTCTAAAAAAATAAAAAGAGATAATCTCCACTTCCCAAGGTTGTATTTGCCCATGTATTTGCCCATGTATTTGAGGTCCTTTTCCAGCACTGTTAGAGCATCTTCCCACTGGGACGAGGCAGAAAATAAGGACAATTCCTGAATAAAAACCATACTGCATCCCTTGAGAACATCACTGCTGTGTAATTAGATATGTTTTAATTACCTGCTTGCAGAAGGAGAAAGTTTGCTGGAAGGTTTGAAATGCTCAGCACCAAGACTGTCTTCTGTCTGGTTGCAGCTCCCAGGCTGCCTCAGGGGAAGAGTATTTTATAAACTAATTGGAGAATAATTTATCCTCAGTTATTTACCCTTTTATACTTTTTTATATTTTATTTTATAGTTACTCTCAGTTATATGTCTTGATATAAAATTGTTTCAGCCCCTTGAGGGAGCTACAGAACTCATACAGATCTTGTGCATATCACAGGGAAACAGCAAATTACTTAGCAAAGGTTTTCTTTTATTTTAGTGATCTATGTTTGTGGGTGTACAGAAGTGGCCGTGAGTGCTCTATTGTACAAGTTGTTCATGTAATTTGTTTGTCATGGAGCCAACAAGCTTTTTCCGTAACTAGTAATTGTTATTACTAAGGATTTCTGATTTTGCAAGTGAGTGTGTTGGAAAATTAGGAAAATAATACCAAAGTAACTGTCTGAAGTGAGGAGCTGGGATGATGAGGGACTGCAATTAAATCATCTTCTGCCTGCAATGTCCCGTCTTTGTAAATAGCAGTATTACTCTTAGATACTTAGCCTCATTAAAAATACTCTTATTTCAAGTACTTTTGGATTTATGTTAAATGTAATCACTTAATAAAATGAGCTCTAGGAGGCACCACCTGGCAAATAGCATTGTGTCTAGGATGTGACCCCCATCCCATCAAGGAGCCCTGGTGGGATGCAGAGCTCCTTTTCTACCCTCAAGTGATGTACACGAGTGTGTACGTGTGCCCATGTGTGTTCATGTGCATGTTCTTGCTCCTCTGGGCAGGCAGGGGTCCGGGAGCCCTGGTGATGGTCCAGCATCATCCCCAAAGCTTCAGCGTCTTCAGCCCCAACCCTCCTTCTGCCCAAGGGCTGACCCTGCCTGCACCTCGCAGTGTCCCCCAGTGATGGCCACCCTGGACCCCCTCCTGCAGTTTGTCCACTTGTGACGTTTCCTTGTCCTCTCCAAGAAATCCTGATTTGGCACAGGAACAAGCTGGTGTTTCACAACATGCTGGGAATTGCATTTTGCCCAAAATAATTTGGCATTTATAGACCGTTGGTGCAGATGGTCTTGTATGCCAAGTTATTTCTGGGCGCCAGCACTGCTGGCAGCGATGCTGGATGCTGAGTCGGGGATCCCCCCTTGGGATTCGCCACTGGGCTCTTGAGGTGCTGCTGAGCCCTTGTGCATGGAGATAAGTGATTAAATACAGCATTTGCACTGCCAGGGGGTGCTGCCATTTGGGGTCACCTGGCTGATAGTTTCTTGGAGAAAGCCTGAAATCTGTTGCAAGCAATGAGATGCTTTTAGAAATGGAAAAAAAAATAATCTAACTTTAATTGTCAGATTTATTCTGGAGAAAAGACTAAATCAAAACAGAATTGACAAACAAGGAGTTTCTTGTTTATTCCCATTTTGTATTTATTTTAGTCTCCTCAAGCTGTCCCTTGAAATTGAATTTGCTCAGCATTGATGTAGCTGCTGCCAGGAGGCTGCTTTGAGTCGCCTGTGGAGGCCTTGGACTTCACCAGGGTGTGCTGTATGGGGAGGGAAACTTCACATTTAATAGCCAGAGTTGAAATATTTCCTTCCAAAAAGCCTGGCTGGGTCTGTTCTCCCTGGTTGTTTGGACCAGGGGAGAAAACATGATTGATAGGAGCCTGCTTATTTTTGATGGCAAAAGACCCAGTTAGAGAGTGCCAAGGAGTGGGTAGTGGGATGTCAAGTACTTTCTCACATTTTACAGATGGTTTATGTAACCTTCTTGTCTATATTATTATATTTTTTCCCCATACAGTTACATAATCCTAATTTATGAAAGCTTTAGGAAATTGCATTCCCCACTGTGATGTGTCTGTATATAATGGCCTCTGAGCTTGTTAGGATGCAGCACTTGGCCCTTCTGCCAACCATCTCCCAAGAAGCTCAGGCAGGTGTGGAATAGCTATTTATACATTTATTGTTACCGTATTTCCTTAATTATTTTCTTTTAGCCATCATTGAAAGCTGTGTTAGCTCCTCAGGAGGGGTGCACCCCCTCAGGAGGGGTGCAGGCTGTTGCCTCTCCCTGCTGATGCAGAGCAGAGGCTTTGCTCCTGCATTCCTCTTTTTTTTCAGTATTTTTGAAATCTGTTGTCTGTGGCAGAATCTTGCTGTGATTTTTGTGATGGGAGCAGCTGAAATCCATGCTGGGGCCAGGGATGGCTTTGGGGGCCAGGAGCTGTAGAACATCGATGTGTAAAATATCCTCAACTGCATCCTGTCCCTAGCACCTTCTTCCCTTGGAAGAGCAACAACCCATAAATGTTTATGGCTTTTGCTCTCCCCGGTATACATTCATCTTTTGAAATAAGGGAGGAAGAAAAGAAAATGCTGCCTTTTTTTTTTTCCATTTCACATGAAAGCAAAAGGTGTTGTGTCTCTGGGTCCCCGCACTGGAGGGGATGGACCACAGGCTGCCGATGGGATGCTCGCAAGACAGTTCAAAGGAATTTTATCTGTGATTTTTTTTACTTTGAAGCAACCTGGAAAAAGCACCAAGCAGCGAAAGAGCCAGATCATTTTTAATGGGTTTATATTGTAAACTGGGAGGATAAAACCACCGCTCTCTGGAAGTCTTTTGTGTGTTGTTGGCATGGGCGTGTTTGCCTCACTCTGGGGGATGCAGAGAGACTGAACCCAACTTGCTTTCGCCTGAAATATTTTTTCTGGCAGGGATTAGTGACCCGTCCTGCTCACTTGTTCCTCTCGCTGCAGCTGAAATTGAGGGCAGCCTCTTATTTCACATATTTAAAAAAAAGATAGTTATGACTTGGATCTTAACTAAAACCATTCCAGAAGCTTAAAAATATTAGCTAGGCAGAATGATTAAGCAAGTGTGATGGGAACATACACAGTTGTATTTAAGTTAGTTGCATGCAGTAGTTTTCTCACTTTGTTACTCTTCACTGTTTAAAAACCTTCCCTTGCTGCTGCTCTTCCGTTAATAGACTGATATGTTCTGGTTCCTGGGAGGTGATTGGTGACTGCATCCCCCTCTGAAATGTCCCCATGGGATGGGTGGCACTGTTTTGCCTGGGAGAAGCTCGGGAGATACTGGGGTTTCCATGGGCAGAAGGTGTTAAACCTAGAGCAGGGACTGGCCGTAGATAAAGGAGAGCAGGGAGTTTGCTTCGGTCCCTAGTGAGGCGGGGCTCACCCTGGGCATGATGGAGGTTTGTTAGAGTGCTGGGCAATTAAAGCAGCTCTGCTTGCATTTTGGTTTTTTGTTTGAATAAAAGTTGCCATGCCCGACCTGCTGGGATGTTGGCTGCTTGCACAATGTGTGTGCTAGGAAGTAAATCGATCCATGTGAGCAATAGTTTCAATTTTATGGCTTCCCTGTTTATTTTAAAGGAGGGAGGAAAAAGTCAAGTGACCAGGATTAAAAAAAAGAAAAAAAAGTTAATATTTAATTCAAGCTGTGATGTGTAAGTGTGAGAAATGGCACTCGATGTCTGGGTGCATCCTTATGTGTTGGGATGGAGCTGAGGATTACATGGAGCTGCCTTGCTGGTCTTAAGAAGGTCATATTTTGTTAGTAATCCCAATTTGAATTTGTCGTCACCATCTACTGGGTCTGTGCTCAGCAGGTTGGCATTGCAGGTGTCTTAAAACACTCTCATCTGGGTAAAATCGCTGCTCTGGTCTTCCCTCTCCTGCTGCACAGGGACAGTTTGCTCAGCAAGAAGATATTTTACCCGAAAAAGTAATTCTTGTGATCAAAGGGGAACTGGAACCCTGGTGGGACAGTGGAGAGAGCCAGCTGCTATGCTAATTGGGTTGTTCTTCATTATCACCACCGGTGTGGTGGGGATGAAGGATGGAGGTGCAGCCCCATGCTGCTGCCCAGCTTGAGGGGCTGGGATTCAGGGTGATGCTCACTAGCATTCATGGCCCCACATCTTCCTGCTATGCATTTAGCTTTGTTGTTTTTTACCCTGACCTTTGCATTTTAAAGAAACTCCCTCCCGGGTTGCAATCTGAAGCTTTTAGGGCTGTTGTGGTGCCGTGGAAGTGCAAGCACTTTGTGCTAAGCGAGTCTTAAAAAACTAAACGCCAGAGCAGCCAACTCTTATTTTTCCATCCTGCTAATTTTCATCCTAGTAAAAAAATTGGACCAAATATAGCCTTGGTTTATTTTTTTAAAAGCAGATGGTAAGATGCTAAACACTGTTTGTGGAAACAGCAAGTCAAAACATCTTCCTATGGCTGCAATGAGCAGAGGAGCTGCCATGGGAAGTTTTTGCCATAGTCTCATCACTGCTCTCTGACCATGGTGGAGCATCATCTGTAGCTTGAAACTGCTGTCTCAGTTCTCCCTTCTTCTTAAATCCTGAAATCCTCTTTTAGAATACAGCACATGTGGTTTCTTTCCCCTCCACCCCCACCTCTTCTTATCGGGTGTTTTCCCACTGTGTCTCTGGGTGAACACCTCCCCAGACTCTCCCTGGACTTTCAATCCTTCTCCAGCAATTGCATGGTGGCAAGGTGAGACCCCTCAAAACACTCCCCAGTCTTGCTCTTCTTCCTCCTTTTCCCCTTCTGTGAGCCTCTGAGATCTGCAACATGAAGTTTCCATTTGGAGCTGACAAATTCCTGGTATGCTGATTTCTAGGAAACGTGGCTTGGGATCGGGATCGTGTGGTTGGTGAAACCCTAACATGTGTGATACCTGCCTGTCCTCAGCCTGGGGTCAGACATCTGCATCCTGTTCTTCGCTCTGAATTTTCACCCATTTCTCTGGATTGGAAGATAGCAACACCTGTGTGGAGAGGGAATTGTAAAATTAAATGGCTTGTTTTTATGACACGAACTTCTGTACTTCTCCTACCTGTCCATATTTGTATCCCAGGGAAATGAAGCAGGAGGGAGGATGGTTTATCCTGGCTTCATTTACAGATGTACAACATTAACTTGCGTGTAGTAGCAGCACTGGGAGAGCAGAATCTGCTTTGTTGTGTCAGAAACACCCATGGGCTTTTGTGTAGGGTAATTAATTAGTTCCCTCCCTATATCCAGAGTACACATGGTCCTGCAATGAGAAGATTCAGGCTCTGACACCACCAGCAAACTTGCTCAGCTCTCAGTGACATCCCTGTCTTCTTGGCATTTAAGTCTCAGGGAGTAGCAGATATTTCTTTTTGCCCTACAACTCTTTGTTTCAAATTAATTGGGATTTTGGACCCTAGCCAGCCTCCTTCTGTTGCTCCAAATGAGATATAAGTGGGAGCAGCATGCTCTTTTTTCTAACCTATTTGGAACTGTTTTTGCTGGACGGAGAAGTCGTGAGCTCTTTTATAATGTGGACCACATCTTAATAGCTGGTCTTGTGGGCTCCATCCCTCCCACTGCTTCTGACGCAGAGCGTCTCCCCTCCCGCTCGCCTTGGCCAGCTTCCCTGGATGACTCCTCTAATTGCTTACGTAGAAAAATAATGAGAAGGATGTGTATGGTGTATTTTTAGATGTCTCTTGGTGGGATTTAGCAACAGGCAAGCCAGAGCCAGCACCTCCCCTTCCGTCTTCTGCATCCCAGCGGTGGCTGCTTGGTGGACCTTGGGAGATTCTGTCCCAGGAGGTGGCACTTCTTTGGCAAGCTTCTCCCCTTTTCAGGCTTCTCCTGGTCCTTAATAAATGGGTTATGGATGCTGCATCTGTGGTGATGCACAGGATCTGTGCCAGGAAGCCCTGAGCTGGTACACGGTGCCAATGGCATGCCCATGCCATGATGGGTGCCACTACCTCCTTGCTCATCTCCAAGAGGAAAGCCGTGGTGGTGGCAGGGCAGTGTGAGCTGTGAGGGCTTGGAGACCATCCCAGCACCAGAATCATAGAATCATGGAATGGTTTGGGTTGGAAGGAACCTTTAAAGGCCTTCTAGTCCAACCTCCCCACCACAAGGGACATCTTGCACTAGACCAGGTTGCTCAGAGGTCTGTCCAAACTGACCTGGAATATTTCCAAGGGTGGGGCATCCATCACCTTTCTGGGCAACCTGTGCCAGTGCTTCACCACGTGCATCGTCAAACATTTCTTCCAAAGTAACTGATGGCATGTTTTCCAGTATATAAGTACCTGCAAGATAGTGGATCTCACCACAAGTTGCTTTTTCAGTGGTTTTTTTTTTTTAAGATGTTCCCATCTGAAACCTCAGTGGAGCAGAGGAAAGTTAAATATCACCCTCAAGACTGTTGAGCATTGCAATAAGTAGTTCCCTTATTTTTCACTTTGCTTCTTCCATTGCAGGGCTCTTTGTGTCTCGGTGGCTTCCTGTGCTGGGGGGGGGGCTGGGCTCCAGTTCTTCCCTTTCCACTCGGGCGCGAGGAACACAATTCTTCTTGCAACATGACTTAGCTGCCCTTGGAGCTGAAAACATCCTTTCTCTGCTCTTTCTGAATCCCCCAAATGAATGATTTCTCCTGCTGGTTAACATCAGCTTCCACACCAAAGACTGTGGGAAAGTTTCACAATTAGAGTGACTTTAATAGATCTGGTTTATGTCTGAAAAAAACCATTGCTTTCCAATTCTCTGTCACATGTTTTCTTGATGACGTGTCATGCAGCAGTGCAGCTACCAAAATAGCCTTACAGTCTGAAGGAAATCATCAGGAAATATGTTTTTGAAACCATAAGCAATTCCTTTTTCACCAGGAACCATTGGAAAAAGTCTCTGTTTGATGGAAAACGTGGCTTTTCTGGCACCTTGGCTGCTTTTGTAGTGGTGGTGGGAGGACAGTGCTCCAGCAGTTTGCCCAAAAAACCTCAGTTCCTTAGATTCTTGCTGTGAATTTTCTCTTTATCCACCCAGATAGTTGAGATTCTTTTGGTGTTGGGTTTGCTTTGGTTTTTGGAGAAGATGCTTGCTGTGCATTGTCTTTCCATGAAGGGTGATAAACCCTTTCCTTTTACACCACCTTTCATGGTCCTGCTGGGCTGATGGGGCGCATGCTGTGTCTCCCCAGGTCCAGTGCCTATGCCAGGAGACCATGACCACTGATGAGGCCACCAAGACCGAAGGGGAGGTGCAGGCAGTGGCCCTCACTGAGCGCGGGGAGGACATCACACCAGCTCAAGACCGAGGGGTTCTGAAGGTGAGGGGGGCTTGCAAGAATGTCCTGCCTTTCTTTCTGCATTTTGGGGTGCATGGTCACGTTGCTGGGCTGCATCCCCAGTCCTTGGGGTCACATAGTACTTTCAGGGTTGTAGGATTGAGTTCTTTCATTTGAAAGGCATCAATTGGAGTGAAGAAGGGTGGGAGGGGTGTTTGAGACTGAGCTGCTCCATGAATTTCACTGCCATTGTGTTCCTAATCAGATTATTAGCTGTAAATCCACAAAGAATTTTTGTATGTGACTCACAGACGTTAGAAAGAGCACATAACTGAGGTCATCCAGTCTGCTCCACAACCCCTTTTCATATTCAGAGCCATTTCTGGATAGATCTGCTCCCCAGTGCTTGCTCTTCTCCAGTTAAATAGCACCTTTCCTCTAAGAATAGCATCCTCCCCTGCTCCATCCTCAGCTTGAGAACTGCTTGTTCCAGGCTGTAGCATTCAGAAAAAAAGAAGTGTTGACAAGAAGTGAGTAGTGAACAGACACACTCCTGTGAGTAAAATGCGTACGGACAGAAAGTGAACGTAATTGCATTCACTTTGGGTTTCGAACCACAGTGTTTATCGAGACACCTCCGCAAAGTACGGGCAGGTCTCTACTCCCAGCCCTGTCCCACTCCATTGTCATGGCTCTGGTTTGAGATTTATTTTTAGGAGCTGATGGAAGGATGAATTGAATGACTCCCACTTGAGCCTTCTGTTTGTTTAGAGCGGCACTGTGGTGTATATGCATATGTGTGTGTGTATATATATATATATGTTTATGTAAATGCACGTGTGTGTGCGTCTCTCTCTCCTTCCATATGTATCCTCAGCTGTCCTATGGCCCCTGCTCATGGGTGGTTTCTCTCTCACAGATCATTAAGCGACCTGGGAGTGAAGATGAGTCTCCCATGATCGGGGACAAGGTTTATGTCCACTACAAAGGCAAACTGGCCAATGGTAAAAAATTTGACTCCAGCCGCGATCGGAATGAGCCCTTTGTCTTCAGCCTGGGCAAGGGTGAGCTGCTCCAGGGAAGTTCATCCATGGGGATGCTGGAAGGTGGGATGATCCCAGTAGGAGCAGGTGGGATCATTCTGGTGGGATCAACTGACCCTGTTTCAGTACAGATGGACGATGTCAGCCCTGCCCTAAGTGGCTTGAGTGTATGGGCTTTTTTTAGGTGCCATCCTTACAGCACTCGGGCTATTTTTTTTTTCTGGGCTGCTGGTTGCTCCCTCCTGCCTGACATTTGCCTCTCTCCTAGGTCAGGTAATCAAGGCATGGGACATTGGGGTAGCTACCATGAAGAAGGGAGAGATCTGCTACTTGCTCTGCAAACCCGATTATGCATATGGCTCTGCTGGCAGTGCCCCCAAAATCCCCGCCAATGCCACCCTCTTTTTCGAGGTGAGTAATGCTGGTGAGCTGGCGCATGGATGAGCTCACTCGCTCCCTTCCTGCTAACCAGCTTAGAAATAATAATAATAATTTAAAAAAACCCAAAAAACAACAACAAAAAACCCAGCTTGGATTCCTGAAGTGTGTCTCTCTGCTCCAGGAACTGCTGCCAAGGTTTTCTCAGAAATGTGTGTCTGAGCTGGGAGGCTGGGACTGAAACTCTGGGTGAGGAGAGCACCGGTGCTGGGGCAGGGAGTGGGCAGATTCCTGGTTTAAACATGTACAGGGGAAGGAGAAAGCAGGTGGGAAATGCCTCCAGGTGCTAAAAAATGATTAGTGCTGTCGAGCGGTAGGAAAGCCACATTTTTGGCACAGTGTGATTGCTGAGACGAGGCATTCCTCCTGGGCTGGGCTCGTTGGGACAAGGCAGGAGGAATGGGTCTGTCCTAAATTAAGGCTTAGTCTTTCCAAGTCGAGTGTGGACTAAGCTGTGGGTTGGAGTTGGTCCCATCAGAGGATGAAGGGGAAACTCCTGCCTAACCTGGTCCCAGGCAACTTTCACAGCATCTTCCAGCAGTAGCTGTGTTGTACCCTTACAGGTTTAATACATTTATTTTTACTGTTACTTTGTGTTATGCTTCAGGTACTGGATGTGCCCCAATTTCTAATAAATTGTGTGTGTTATGCTGTGGTTTGGAGCTGGATTTTATGGACAACTGCTCCTCAGCTGAATGGAGAATAAGCTGGCTTGGTTCTCCAGCCAGAGGATGAACTGCTGCTTTGTGGCTTTGTTTTTCCCTTCTCCTTCCCCCCTACCTAAGCTCTGCCCACTTTTTCTTTATTTTTTTTAGGTTGAGCTGCTTGACTTCAAAGGCGAGGACTTGTTTGAGGATGGAGGAATAATCCGAAGGATCAAGAGAAAGGGGGAAGGTTACTCCAACCCTAATGAGGGTGCCACTGTGGAGAGTGAGTGCTAGTGCCTTGTAGAGGAGCTGGAGGGATCAGCCTGTCCTGAGCCACTCCACTTTCTTCTCCCTGGCAAGGACCTACTGTACAGGTTGTAGGTGGCCGTGCATCGTGATAGGATGCAGTTACATCCATCCGGAGGCCAGATGGGGTGGAAAGGGGCTGGGAGAGCAGCAGCGCACTGCTGACCCAGGGATGCACCTCTGAGCTCTCCTTGGCTGGGCCCTGTGATGGCTCTACTAGAGCTGCTGCCCTAGAAGGCTGGTTGGAAAACCCTGAGCCCAGAGCTGCTCAGCCAGCATCTGTGGGGAGGATGGAAGAAGCAAAGCCCATTTCCCTGCCATTTCCCCTGACCCTTTTGCATCTCATTGCAGTGTCCAAGATGCTCTGTGATGTGCCATCTGCAAAAACCCCTGGCTCTGCCTTGCCTCCAAAGCATCAGTTGCCAGGCCTTCCTCCCTTCATGGAGGAACACACACTTGCTAAGTGTTTTGGGCAATGATACAGGCGCTTGGCACCTTCTTTGGCCTCTTTGTTCCAATGTTGATGGTATTTTTGGTGGGTTTTATCGCATCTCTTGCAGAATGGGGCCTTTTCCTTTCCCTATGGCCAGAGGGCTGCTCATGGAGGGGAAGGAGATTATTACAAGGGGTTTGCTTGTAATAAGGGTGGTTTCAGCTTTCGTGGGAGGATGAGGAGCTCAGGTCCCATTGGGCTCTCCCTGTTCTGATCCCATTTCTGGAGCAGATGTTTCATGAGGCTGGAGAGGGGAAGCCAGATTTGGATTTTGGTTTTTTTCTTTCCCAAGAACCACTGGGACACAGACCCAGAGCTTGCTTCATATGGGACGCATTTAGTTTTTTTCTCACTTCCAGAGCTCCTGTGCAAAGATCCTAAAGTCCCTTTAGCGACTGAGAAATTGAATCTGAGCTGTGACAGCTTATAAAGCTTGCAGCCTTAAATGGCCAGTTCTTCTAACGAGGCTTTTTTTAAGGAAAAATGAGGTTTTGACTCAGATTTGACTGTCTGCCTCCCCTGTGCTGAGCGTCCTAGCTGTGGACCAGCCACAAGCTAAGCTTCAAGCTGGCTCTGCTACCCCAAAGATTAAACTGAAAGACTAAATATAATTGAAATCATCACAGATCCAGCTCTCATATTTATTTTGATTAGGTCTGAGCTCTTTAAAGACAGCGCTGTGCTCAGTGGGGAGGACGGGAAGAGCACTGGTCCTTCTGTAGTTGTTCCCTTTGCAGCTTGAGGTTTTTTGGAACGTGATGATGATGCTCAGGCTCAGGCAGGGGCTGGGGGGGGGGCAGGGGAGGTCATCAGCCAGGAATCATCTCTTTGAAAGGACATAAGGAGCCAAATAACAAGTCTCCCCATACACCAATGTCCCACAGCCCATTATCCTTGCTTTACTTGTTTCAAATTAATGTGTCCATTGGAGCAAATGCTGTGAGCAGGAGCACGTGTGTCTCAGAATCATGGAGGTAGATGCCCTGCCAGGCCATCCTGTGGAGCCAGCACTGCTCGTGTAGGGCAGGGATGGGGAATGCTGGGCTGATCCCTGTGGCAGCCCACTGGCCCTGCCAGCCTTTCTGGTCGTAGCTGCTGTGGCCCCTAATTCATTGAGACCTACACATCCTTATATGTTCAGAGCCCTGAGACTACCTTAAATACATCCCCGTGAGAAGGACAAGGAGAAGGCAGCCTTGCAGTGAATGTTTTGGGTGCAAATAGATTTTGTTGGTTTTTTTGTTGTTGTTTTTTTTTTTTGGTAACAAATGCAACTGTGTTTATGGTGGGCACTATGCTGGGGATGGCACAGCTGTGGAGACAGGCAGCCCACCCTGGGATGAGGCTGTGATCCAGGGGGGCAGCGATGGTTTCCCTCAGCTGTGTATTTGGGAGGTGCTGGAATTAGGCTGGAAGAAACCATGCTTCCAGGAGCAAGTATCTCCAGGTTTTTGTAGGTTTTAAGTTTTATAGACCTTAATTCACAGTTCTGATCTCTAAAACCTGGGCTGCACTCAAAATCTGTCATTCCAGCTTTGGTTACATCCTTTCCCCCCACCCCTCCTCCTTCTCCGTTTTTAATCTGAGTACAAATTGCTGTCAGCACATCAAGTTCGTGTGCCAGCCACACTCAGTACACTCTGTTCTCAGCTCTTCAAAAACAAAATCGCTGCAGGCACCGAGAGAACAATAAGTCAGAGCTGCAACCAGAGTGATGTTCCTTCAGTGGCTTTTTTTTCTCTGTAATCCAAGAGCAACTGCAACCAGCTGACCTGCTCCTGGAAACCTGAGTGGAGATTTTCCCCCCTTTGCTTGCCTTATTTTATGTGCAATTAAAATAGAGAAAAACTGTCCGTGAAAGGAAGGATCATGGCATCTTCTTGTGCATCCTACTCTAACATGGGATCTTCCTATTGCTGCCACGTCCCACAGAGGGTGTGGAACTTGGGAGGGCTGTAGTGCTGCTTTTGAGGTCAGGGATTATGGATCTGTACTCCCTAGGAAAATGCAGGGAGATGGCACAGTGCTGTGGGGTTGCTGGGTTACCTGTATTTTAGGCAGAACTTTTCAGTTTTCCTATGCCTAAGGAAATAGCCAGATTGGTATTAGGTAGTGCAAAAGCAGAGGTTGACTCTGTAGGAGCTGGATTTGCCTTTTGTCCTCATCCCAAGATGGGTGAGCTCACACCAGCCTGAGCCTGGTGGTCACTGTGCACCAGTGTGGATGCAGGATGTGTCCTGGGAAGCTGGCATCCTCTGCTCCTCCACGCTTGAGTCCTAGCATGGCTTTGATGGCAGGAGCTAAAGGGTTGAACCTGCCGTAGGAATGGGGGACTGCCTGTGGGCTTGCTTGTTCCCTGTGTCTCATACTGGGGACTTCCTGTAGGCCCCAGGGCAGGGCAGCATCGTGAGGTGGAGATGGGTGGGTTTCCTTCAGCGCAGGCTTCAGCTGTCCAATGCAGAGCCCAGATCCTCATGGCTGTTTCTGGTACAGTGCCGTCTTTGGCTTGTCCTGCTGCTCACCTGCCACCACAGTGGGATGGTCAGTGCCCTGTAGCATCTCAGGTAGCATCCTGCTCTCTCCAAGCAAAGATTAGGCTCACATTCTTGCAGGCCACAAAATCTCTAAGCACAGTTGTGACAACAGGAATGCCCATTGTGAATTTTTCCTCTTAAAAAGCTTTTTTTTTTTGTTTCACTTTTTTTAACAGCATGCAGGAGTTCCTTATAAAACTGCTTTTACTTTGTGCCTGCCTGCATGTGTATGCCTTGTACCCTGCAAGCAGAATGCAAAGATCGTAAAAGCGTCCCCGAGGCCTGGAACATCTTCAGGATTGAATAAATAAAGAATAATCTTGCTGTGGAAACACAGCCAGGAGTGCCAGGTGGTGGATGTGCCAGGTACCCAGTGTCCGCTCTGGCTGCACTTCTGCCAGCGTCTGGGGCTGGAACAGCACAGTTACTGGTTGAAGATTAAAAATAAAAAGTTTATCTTGTACTTTGAGTTCTGAGAGTCAGGAGAACATGGCCTTGTTTTCGAGGTAGAAGTCAAGGCAGTATAGTGCTGTATAGAAGATTTGTAATCACCGTGATAAACTCTGCGTGGCGGCGTGCCAGGAGCAATATCCAGTTCCAGTAAGACTTGACTCGTGCAGTTGAGTACAAGGGGAACATATTAGTCACGATGTTTATCTGTTGTTTGGTCCTTGGTTAGACGAGATATGCCTGCCTTGCTTTTCAGCAATGTTCCTAAGCTGTCCCTATCCCTCTCTGCACCAGGAGGTTCTTGGCTGCCCCCAGCCCTTTGTCTTCCCTCTTCCAGGGCTGGAGGCTTTGCTGGATTTTGGGAGAGATAAAATACTTTCTGATACTTTGGAGCCCACATTGCTCCAAGGTTTGGGTAACTGTGGGTGTGATCCTGCCACATTCCCTCTTGTCCTCCTGCAGTTCATCTGGAGGGATTCTGTGGCGGCAGCAGGTTTGACTGCAAAGATGTGAAGTTCATTGTGGGCGAAGGAGAGGACCATGACATCCCCATCGGCATTGACAAAGCCTTGGAGAAGATGCAGAGGGGAGAGCACTGTATTCTCTACCTCAGCCCACGGTAAGGATCATCCCTGCAGGGATGCTGTGTGGGCTTCACCTTCCAGCATTGTTTTAGCACTTATGGAAGATGGCTGTCCTGAAAACAGAACTCTCCAGGAGAGCTGCAGTTTAGCAATGCCAGCAGGAATAGTAAGAGAGACTAGTGGTGTGCAGACAAGAATCTTGAGATGCTTTAAAAAAATCAGGTAAAAGGGCTTTATCCAAGTCCAGTGTCTGATGTCTCCCTGGAAATTGCCGGGGCTGGGTCCTTAGGCTGGAGAGAAGCCTATGGAAAAAGATGGCTTTGCAGCCAGAAGGGCTGATTCCCAATATATAATGCGTTGTATATTGTCAGGTATCTTTGCTCATGGAGAATAACATAACCCTGGCCCCAAAATGTTAGAAAGCTGTGGGCAGGGAGCTTGGATGTGAAAACAGAATTGGGAACCTGGGCCTGCGTTTATGGCCAAGGGCTGCTAAAATGAAGGGTTTCTCCCCCTGTCCTCTGACTGCCTCCTTCTGCCCTCCAGGTATGGCTTTGGCGAGGCGGGGAAGCCAAAATATGGCATCCAGGCGAATGCTGAGCTGGTGTACGAGGTTACACTGAAAAGCTTTGAGAAGGTGAGGGCAGAGGCACGCTGGTCCCTTCTCAGATTACAGGAATGTTGGGCCCTGTGTAGCATCCAGCCTTTGTCCCTGGTGTGTCTGCAAGCCTGACCCCCGCTGAAGTGGACACGTCACCAAGGAGCTTCGTGTTCTTAATTTGTTCTTCTCTGTTGGTTTGTTTTATTCTTGTGGCTTGGGTCCAAGGCTGGGTCTCTTATTTGTTTCTTGTCCTTTTGTACTTTCTTTTTCTTTTATTTTTCCTTCTCCTTTTCCTTTTTCCTTTTTTCCTTTTCTCCTTTTTTCTCTTTTTTTTCTCCTTTTTTCTTTTTTATCTCCGTGTTTCTTTTTTCTTTTTTTTCTTTTATTTTCTTCCTCTTTTTTTCTCCCCTTTTTTCCCCTGGGCTCCACAGATAAGAGCTGGTGCATCCAGCCAGCTAGCCCTGAGGAGCTTGTCTGTGCCCATGAGGAGCCTGGGAGTGGGACACAGGAGAAGCCCATGGGATGGGGCAGGTGCTGCTGTGCCGCATCCCTAGATGGGTGCCCTGCCATCGCCCTGGCTGCAATAGGAGCAGAGTTGGCTCCTTGCTCTGGATATGGCCCTGGTGAGCCCTGAGCATGAACAAGCTGTCCCAGAGAGTGGTGTGGTCCTGCCAGAGGAGGGGGGCTGCTGCACTCCCCTGGGAGTGCTCCAAGCATTCCTTTGCAGGCCAAGGAGTCGTGGGAGATGGACACCAAAGAGAAGCTGGAGCAGGCTGCTGTCGTCAAGGAGAAGGGCACAATGTACTTCAAGGTTTGTGAACTTGGGGATGACAGAGGTGAAGGAAGGGAACTGGAAATTAATTTGGGGTGACATCAGATGCATGACTTGGCAGCCATCAGTGTCAGAGAAACCATGTACCCCCAGACAGTGCTGGGGAAGGCGAGTCCTGCCCTCCCTCTGTCTTTTGCTCACTCCTTGATGCTCCCCGAGATATCTCCTCCTTTCCCAGTGTTTCCTTGGCTGTATGTGCTCCCTGAAGAGCAGGACAGCAGATTGAACCCTTCCTGGGCCAGGGCTAATGCTGAGAGGCTTTAGAGTTCCCTGTCACAGCTGGGGCATCCCAATCCTCCCCACTGCTCTGACTTGGCTTTTCCCAAGCCTGCTGTTTTTGTAGGTGTTCAGCATCCTCCTCCTTTCATTTACTTATTGAACACACCACATTACACTTGTTACCTGTTGTGAGATGTTGCGGGAGCAGATGAGTGTTGTCGCTTGGGTTCCTCTAGCCTCTTCTTTGCTCCATCCCAGGAAGGCAAGTACCTGCAGGCAGTGATTCAGTATGGGAAGATTGTGTCCTGGCTGGAAATGGAGTATGGCTTGTCTGAAAAAGAGTCAAAAGCCTCTGACTCATTCCTCCTGGCTGCTTTCCTCAACTTGGCCATGTGCTACCTGAAGCTGCGAGAGTACACCAAAGCTGTGGAGTGCTGTGATAAGGTAGAGGTGCATGAGCCCCAGGGATAGAGCATCCTCTTCTCCTGCTTGTTTTCATTGGGAGTTCGTTGGGATTTTTTTGATTTCTTTTCATATAAGAAGCAATTTCCAAACAGCAATGGGATGATGGCATCCCTTCCGCACCTCGAGGTCTCCATGGATGCTGTGTGCTTAGGACCAAAAGTGCCTTTTGGGGTTCAAAATCCACCTGGACGTGTGTTTACAACAGCTTTTCTTCCTAAGCCAGATCCATGAGACTGGATCTGCGTAGACTGACGACCTTGGGGTGCTGTTTAGATCTGCTCAGGCTGGGTCTGGGCACTGAGTTCTCCTCTGGGTGTGACAGAGGCAGGCTCTGTGGAGCTGCAGTGGATCTCCAAGCCAGTTGAGGAGTGGGATGGGGCTTTGCCAGTCCCTAAAAATCTTTGACCTTGTCTTTGTCAGGAAACTCTGAATTCTTTTATAAAAGGCTTAAATTTAAGCATCTTGCATGTGGGTAAGCTAATAAAGCTAGTTGTCTTAGTCTAAAAGGTAAATCATATCTGAGGTGCATATATGGCTTTTACTAAAGGAAAATAATGTCATTGCTAGAACAAGGAGACTAAAGGGTTGAGTGTTTACACCTGATTTCTTGCCTGTGAATTTGTCTCCCACTGACTGTCACACTCAGGGGTATTTTAAGCAAGGAGAAATAAAAATCTATATTAGTGACCTGCCATCTGCTGATGGAGAAGAGGTAATTTTTGTTGAGCAAGATGCAAGTGCTCTGGAGACTTGAAGCCACCTTCTCCTAATTTTGACAGATTTAATGAGGCTTTGACCATTAAATTTTTGGGGGGAGCTCCAGGGTGCTAAGGGGACTTGTGTGTTTCCAGGCACTGGGACTGGATCAGGACAATGAGAAGGGCTTGTACCGGAGGGGCGAAGCCAGGTTATTGATGAACGAGTTCGAGCTGGCAAAGTGTGACTTTCAAAAGGTGCTGGAAGTGAATCCACAGAACAAAGCAGCAAAATCTCAGATCTCTGTGTGCCAGAAGAAAACGAAGGAGCACAATGACCGGGACCGGAGGATCTACGCAAACATGTTCACAAAGTTTGCAGAGAGGGATGCAAAGGTGACTGCTGCCCATTTTTGGCCATCTAGCAGGCTGCACTGAGGGATGCTCGTCAGGCTTGTGATGAGAAGAGATGGGTTAAACCAAATTGAATTATAGATCAGGCTGAGGATGGAGGGATAGAGCCTGCTGCAATGGGAGGAAGCATTTTACTTCTTGGTCTCTTTTGTGCAGATGCTGCCATCAGATGCTCAGTCATCAATAAAAGGATTTGCAGTGTGAGCTCACATGGGCTGATAACAGGGTCAGCATTGGTACTTAATTTTGCTGTTCCCAGCTAGTGACTACTGATGAACTCCTGGTCTCCAGTAAAATGAAGTATCATTCCATCTCTGACAAGGCCAAGGGTATTTTGAGACATGATAGTATGGATTTCCTGAAGTTGGTAAGGCAATAGCCTGCTCCTCTGCTCATATGGAGAGGTTGCTGTCTCGTAACAGGCTCTCATCCAAAATTCCACTGGAAACCTGGTGTACTGTAATGAGAGAGGACACAGCTTTGCAAGCTATCTGTGTGGGTAATTTTTAGTATAAGCTGTTCTGAACTGGTGCCTGGAGGTTGAGGCTGTGGATTAAGTGACCAGTGCAGACTCTGGGGAGCAGCATGCTGGGGCAACTGGCTTGGGCAGGGAGTGGAGCTGCCCTGGCCATCTGCTGGCACTGTGGTTGGCTTGTGCAGCTGGTTGTGACAGGAAGAGGCACTGCTGGAGCAGGCATAAGGCTTCACCGTGCCTTAGTACTCCTCTCCTGCACCCGCTGGATGGGTTGCACCCACAGTTGGGTGGGTGGCCTGCAGCCATGACCAGGTGTACATGCTACACCTCCAGCTGGGTGGACAGGCTGCACCTGTGACTCCACTCCGATGCTACTGCCTTACCTCCTTGTCCCTCTCTTCTGTGCCTCTGCACCCATCTGTCCAGGCTCACTCCATGTCAGTGGTCTGCTTCTGTTGAGGTGGGTCACAATCGTTCCCAGGGATCCCATACCTTCCCCAAAAGCTGGCTGAGCTGGTGAGGTTTAACCTCTACCAGCCACTGAGAAAACAGGACCCTCCAGTTTAAGCTGCAGTATTTGATAAGCATGGGGGAGCTGTTGGGGACAATTTTGCCTGCCCTTCCAGGCTTGACTACCTCTGCCTATCCCCAGCATCACTGTCACCTGCTTGCTTCTTCCTTTTCCTGTTTCCAACTCACTGTGCTTTATTTGCTGTTTGGCAGGAAGCAGCTAGCAAAACCGGGGTGGAAAGAGTAGCAGAGAAGGCAGCTTGTGAAAAAGGACTGAAAACTCCTGGTGCTGAAGATGAAGAGGCTGAAGGACACGTATGATGGAGGAGGAGGGGATGGGAGAGCCTCCTGCCCTTGGCCCACACAGAAAAAGGTTTCTGCCAAACCTCGGAACTTGCCAGTGTTTTCTTGTAAAGCTTGTTACAGTTTGTGTGATTGTGAAAGCAAAAAGAGCCCCGTAAAGAAAAACAAACCCTGTCCTACCGCCTGGGTGCGCTCGGGGACAGACCAGGAGCGGCGGAATGCCAAGGGACCACCGCACGTGGAACAAATAGCTTTTAAAGAGCAAGACAAAGAAAAAAGTAATAAATTAAAACTCTTACATCTTGGGACGTTTCCATAGACAGCTTTTCCCAGCTCCCTTGGCTTTATATCCACTGTCAGCACAGCATCCTGGGTGCTCTGAGATGCGCTGGGATGTGGGACATACTCCTTGTACGCTGCTGTGCTGCCTCTGGTTGTACCCGGTACACGACCGGGCTGCACCGCCCCGGCGCCAGCCCTGAGCACGCAGGGCAGCGCTGAGTCACGGGCACGGTGGGAGCCCAGGGCTGGCTGACAGGGATGTGGCCCCCGGGGCTCTCTCACCCATGGTGGCTGGCTTTCTCTCCTGCTGAATTCTTGCCTGTGGCCAAAGGGGTTGCAAAGCGGAGCGAGGCTCGATGTGAGGACCCACATCACCTCCACTGCAGCCCCTCAGTGCAGGGATGTAATTTGTCAAGCACTGTTTGGGGAAGGGGACATAGAGATTTTATCTTCTGAAGAAGCTGGTTTCTATTTCTTTAGAGAATAAAAGCCTATCCAGGTTTGCAGGCACTCAGCCTGCAGCCTGCACCCCATCTCTTGGCTCTCGACTTCAAATGGGAGTTTTATTGCTTATTTGGGATCCATACCTAGAGAAAATAAAGAACAGGTTGACGTGTGGTTCAGAAGGCAAGTGACTGGGTCTGAGCTGGTACCATGGGTTTGTAGCTTGTCAGTGAGCTGCTTTCCCATGGTGAGGAGGTGCATCGTGTCCTTGCACCGATATTGCTGCCTCCTCAGCCATCAACCCTCTCCATCCTAAAGGGATGCTGTCACTTCTGCGTGAGAACAGCTGTCCAGTTGTTATTTTTCCTGTCTCTTTGTAATATGCCTTTTGGAGCTTGAAAATAAACAACTGAAAGAAAAAAAAGAAGTACTTTTTTCTGGATCCTGCTCAGCAAAGAAGGTGGCTGTGGGGAGGATAGGTGTGTACTCCCCAGGTGGAGATGCCCCAGCAATTAAGAAATTATTGGTGTCTCCAAAGTCTGATGCTGCTGCCCCTTTTTATCAGTGCTGTCATTTACTGGAGAGCCAGTGAAGGGCCAGAATGCTGTGCTTTGAAAAGTCCTGACTAGGGGATGCTCTCTGGGGGTCTGCTGCTTCAGCTGCTCATCCAGGTCTTGGGCTTTCCACCACCCTGAGATGTCCTAGAGCCAGCAAAGTATCCCTGGGGGTGCTGCCCAGGAAAGCTGCTGTGAGACCCAGGGTCTCTGAAAAACATTTTTTTTTCTTTTTTTTTTTCTTGCAGGCAGGGCAAAAAAGTCCTTTGGGGGCAGCCCAAGCCACATTTTCCATAGGAAACAATCTCTACCAAAAAAAAACCCAACTCACTTTGCGGTTTCCGGGCTTGCTTCCCGTTTTAAAGGAGATTTTTTATGTATTTTAGCTTGGTGTTTTTCTATCCCTTGGAAAAGAAATTAAACTTATGTGGGTGATGTGATTTGATTTAGAGATTAAAGGGAAACCAGGAGGATATTGTACGGAGGCATCGGAAGTTTGCAGTGCTGGTGGGTCTCGTTGTGCGGTGCTCAAATGCCATCTAGTGGCACCGGGCACGGCGTGGCGGGGGTTTTGAGGTGACTGTGGTGGGCGGGGCAAGACCAGGGGTCCGGTGGAGACACTTGGCTTGTCCGGCTTTGCAACCGAACAGCATCTGCAGGGGCCTTTGAGAGGGAATATTAAGAACAAAATATTGAGTGGTGTAATAACGAGGTGAGGTGTGAGCTGCAGGGCGTGAATCCCATCACCCAAAGAGACCTGGGGACACGGACAGGGGTCGAAGGAAAGTGGTGGTCCGTATGGAAACCCTTAGCACCGCCTGGAGCCAGGGATGTTGCCTACTCCTGCATGGGCTTTCCATGCACAACTCACACAAACCAGTCCAAATCCTGCTATTCTCTCACCAAGAAGACTTTTTGGGTGGAAAAAAAAATAAAAGAATATCCAGGGAGGATAACCCTAAATACAGTCAGACAGCATTCCTCTGCCCACACCAGACTGGAGTGAGTGGCTCTGCTGTGTTGGGGACCCCACTCAGCAAGGGAGGAGTTGTGCACCCGTACATTCCTGCAGAGCCCCCTTTTCCTGTAATTACTACCCTGCCAGCTGCTCTCCCAGCAAGCCTGGCTGACAGCCCCTGAAATCCTATTAAGGGAGTTTCAGGAGAAATAAAGTTAATCATCTCCTTCACCTGCTCTTACTCCTCCTCCTCCTTCTCCTCCTCCCACCACAAAGGCTTGTGGAGGTGGCTGAGCCAATGCTGTAAGAGCACTCAGACTATTGTAGGTGTGACTGACCCCATGGATCTGGTCCTGGGTTGGTAGGGGCTGCAGCATCAGAAGGTCAGCAACTGGTGCCAGGGAGGAGGGGAGGCAGTCAAGGCAGGACAGAGGAAGCGATGCCGTTGCAGACGGAGATCCTGCGCGAGGTCTGGGCTGCGGACAGGTAAGTGCCATGGGGCAGAATGTGACCTGTGGGGTGGATGATGTGCTGGCTGTCCCCACCAGACTCCCATCTCCTCCAGTGCCTTTTTCTCCTATTTTCAATTTAAGTGCAATTTAATGAGCAGTTTTATCAGAGTCTTTTTGCTTCAGGGGTTGGTGTGATGATGCTCATTGACTTACAGAGAGGAAAAGCGTTTGATAGAGGGGAATCCCCAAATTAACCTTCTTGCTGTCACCCTTGGCCAAGTCAGAGCCTGTCCTGTGCTCCCCGCTAGGAAGGATGATGTCAGACAAGCTTGACCCAGTCGAGGCAGGGGAAAATGCTTCTGGAGCCACATGAAAGGCTGACTTTTCCCCCTTCACCAAAAATTGGGGCAGTCTCATGCCCCCCAGGGTCTGTGGAGGTCTGAAAGCCCTCACTGCTTTGCTTTCTGTGCCCCACAGTCCCAGCGAGGAGCCAGGGAGCCCCCAGCAGCAGAAGCCCAAACAGGTGAGAAAAAATCCTTCTCCTCCATCCTATGTGCTACTATTCCCTGCTGTGGGCTGTCCTCAAGGGCTGGAGTCATCAGAGACCCTGAAACCCTGGAGCCCCACACCAAGGCCGACTAGGGGCTGGATGGGCTCTCTATTGAGGTGCTGCAGCCCAGGAGGGCACGAGGTTTTTGGGAACCCTCTTCAGAGCAGGTGGGTAGAGAAAATCCCACAGCCCTCCCTTCTCCTTTGTGCATCCTTCTGAACCCCCTTTCCATGACTTTGAAGTACCCCATGTGGCGGTTTCCTAGTTCCTAGTTAACACTTTAATTAAGCCCCTCAGTTAAGCTGTCAGCTGTGACTCACTTTCCTCAGGCTGTGACCCTGAAAGCCAGACCCCCTTCTTGCATTTCGGGACAGCCCTCAGGTACCACCTGACCTTGGAGGGGTCTCATCAGCAATTTCATCCACCACCCAATTTAATCAGCACCCCCTCCTCAAAGGACTTCATTAAGTAACGAATGACTGTCCTCCCTGCAGCTTCTTAAGGGATTAGGGGATGTGAAAGAGCTTTTCAGTGTGAGCTGCTGACATGGAAGAAAACAGCTGGTTCCCAGCTTCACTGTGGGACTCCCAGCTCCCCCTCCCCAAATTTGCAGTACTGGGATCCCACTGGGATCTGTCTGGATCACACCTTTTGCAAAAGACCTTCACCTACCACCCTGGAGCATCTGGGAGGAACACAATCCCTATGAGGGGAAAGATGCTCTCTTAGGTAGTGGAAGCTCTAGAGCATCTGGATTTGCTTAGATTGCCTTCTGAGGGCCCTGAACTGATACCCACTCCCCAAATACCTCCTTTCCAGAGCCAAGTGCTGACCCACATGCTCTGTATTTGGTAAATCAGGGTTATTTATAGCCCCAGCTAACTGGGATTAGGTATGCTGTGTCTAATCCTCCTGCTTCCTTGCTCCTGCTGACCTCCATCCCAGCAAGGCCCTGCAGCTCCTTTTGCGGGGGTGAGAGATGGAGGTGAGGAGCAAAGCTGTCTGCCCTTCCTCGTGTACCCTGTCCCGGCTCAGGTACCCAGAGTGCCCATCAGCGCCCAGAGTGGCTCTCAGCCAGGGTCCCTGTGGCACAGTGTGGCTTGTTCCTCTATGCTGACACAGTCCATGGTGTCAGGGCAGTGCCAGCATCACTTGTCAACCCCTTGTCTCTGGGGTTGGCACATGGCTGCCTGTCCCAGGGTAGATGCTCTTCTGTTTGTCTGCTAACAGTCCTTTCTGTTTTCGTTCCTCTGCCTTCCCTGGGGGGTTGCCCCATGGTAAGTCACTCATTTTAAAGTGTGTGTCCCTACCCCACAGCGGGTCCTTGCTTCCATGCTGGGCCAGGGAAAAGCACAGCTGTACTTCCGAAAGGGAGCTGGTGCTGTATGAGCAGGGGTTGCCTTGCAAAGAGAAAAGGGGTTTAAGGCCATCACCACCTCTGCAGCACCATCTGTGGGGGCAGAAGCTGAAGAAAAAGAGGCAGGAACTTGGGCTGGAGCCTGAGGCCAAGCCAAGGCGGCTGCGGGTGAAGAAGCCGGGCGAGGCAGGGGCTGTCGAGGAGCCACATGCCCCAGCACAGGGTGAGCACAGATCACCACAGCTCCCATGGAAATGGGGGGACATACTGCCCACCCCCCCCCTCCCCCCCAACCCGCCGTGGCCCCATCCTGCACCTGCTGTTCTCTCCATCATGAGCATCTCTTGAAATGTGCAGGGGTGAAGAAGCTGAGGAAGAAAAAGGAGGAGAAGGGAGAGGAGGAGAGTGACAAGGATGCCTATTCCAAATTCACCAGGGAGCCTCGGAAGAAGAAGGAAAATCCAGCACCGCGCTCCCATGTGGCCAAGGGCCCCAAGAAGCAGCAAGGTGTGGTGACAACACCCACCTCTCTGCAGGCACTCGCTCATGGCTCCTCATGTACCCATGCACCATGTCCCACCAGAGCCATTGATGCTCCCGGGCCTCTGCACATCCCTGGCAGAGCTTTTTGGCCAAAACCCAGCTACAGACCTGGGAGGAATGGGAATGTGTCAGGGGACCTGCACTCACGGCCTTGGCTGGGGAGTTGGGACCGGGGGGAGGTGGGGGGTGACGCACTCCCTGGGATTGTGGCAGTTGGTGGCTAGCCAGTGCCATCAGGTCCCCAGCCACCTTCCTGCAGGAAAAGATTGGGCTTGACCCCTCCTCTGCACCGGGGCTGCAGCCGCGAGAGGGCGCTGGGACCGCGCCGGCACCGTCCGGCACCGGCCACGTCCCACGCGCCGCTGGACACCGCGGACGGGACGGGACCCACAGCCCCGCACCCCGGCTGGGACAGGATGACTGTCCATTCCGGCCAGTGTTGTCGCAAGAGGATCCGTCCTCGCAAACCACGAGGCTGGGGGTCCCCGCTGCAAGAGGACATTGCGTTGCTGATGCCATGGTGTCACCTCTGGGCAGAGCTGGCTGAGGACGAGGAGGATGAAGAAGAGGAAGAAGAGGTGGAGAATAAAGACCCGCCAAAAAAGCTCAAAAAGAAGCTTCCTAAAGACCCCCCCTCAGGAGAGAGCCGGGAGAAAAAGCTGAAGCCGAAGGGTGAGTGTCCAGGGGTAGGGATGGCCTAAGCCCGGCTCTGTCATCATTTGCATCTGTCCTTGCTGGGATGAGGGAACTGCCTGCATTCTGTTCCCATCACTGTCCCAGGAGGCTCAGGGTGCTGCGGAGCAATCGCCCCTCCCCATTCAATCTACCCCCAGCCCAGCCCTTCCTGCTACCTCCACCCTGCTGCCTCCCTGTCCCCATCACCGCCTGTTCCAGCTGCTCATCAGCTCCTCTGTCCCACCAGGAGACAAGAGTGACTCTGACAGCAAAGCCAAATCTGCCAAAAGCACCAAGAAGGAGCAAATGTCCGTGTTTCAGGTGAAGAAGGAGAAGAAAAGCAAGAAGAAAGGTATAGGGTGAGCAGGAGGGGGAGGTATCCAGTCCTGCTGCCCCACAGCATCACCCTGAGCCAACAGCACCTGGTGTTGCATGACCGTTTCCCCCATGTCCCTCACAGTCACCACCAGCAGTGATGAGGAGGATGATTCCGACTCCAGCACCAAACCCATCAGGTCAGAGAAGAAGAAAAACCCAGCATCCCTCTTCCAGACTGGTGGGGACCCCCCCAAGGAGAAAAAATCAAAAAAAAAAGGTGAGAGTCCAGCACCAGTGATGGAGGGTGGTATGTGCTGGAGGGGCTTCTGGGAGTGCAGGTGAGCTTGGTCGTGAAGGATGGGGGTTACAATTAATGGTGTTGGCATGTGTCTATGCCAAGCTTGATTTTGGGGCTCAGCAGAGTCAGGATCTTCCCCCTTCTGTGCCCCTGCCTGTTCCTGCCTGCAGTTCCTCCCAAAGGGGCTGAGAGTGAGGAGGAGATCCTGGAAACCCTGCAGAAAAACTCCAACAAGAAGGGGAAAGCAAAGAAATCAAAGAAGGTACAAAGGACCCCTCAGAGCCATGGGGGTCCCCTTGGGGTGGGGTGGGGGAGAACAGCTCTTCCACACAGGGTGAGTTGAGAGGCTACAGCATCCCCCAGCAAGACCCACTGCAGCATCATCTCCAAAGCCATCAGTTGCCGGGCCACAGCCCAGGGGGGAATTGGAAGCAAGGAGCAATTAGCTGGGAAAGGAGGGGGGCTTTCAGCAGGTTTGACTTTGGGGTCACCTTCCCCTCTCATGAAGCAGCTGAAGGAGGAGAGGCCCCCATCTCCTGTCATTGAGGTGGACAACCTGGAGGAGTTCGTGCTGCAGCCGGCGCCGCAGGGGGTGACCATCAAGTGCCGGGTGACACGGGACAAGAAGGGGATGGACCGGGGGCTTTACCCCACCTATTACCTTCATTTGGATAATGACAAGAAGGTTAGTTAGGGTGAGGGCATGGAGACTCATGGGGCTCTGTGTCCATCCTGGGGAGCACTCCCAGGGTTCTGGGGGGATGCTTGCCTGTACCCCACTGTGGTGGTGGGTTCTGGATGGGGCTGCTTCCCTCTCCTGCAATTCCTCTTGGGAAATGCCCTACGTTGATGGTACCTGGGATGATGAGCTAGTGTCAGCTAGAGAGCCATGCTGATGCTGGGCTGGGCTCAGCCCCTCTCACCCTATGGCATAGCCAGTGTTTTGGGGATCATCTTCACTCCATGACTTGCTCAAGGTCAGTGACCTGTTGGGGGGTGAGCCAGAGACAGCACTGTTGATGGCAGTGACAGTGTCTGATCCTCACATGGTCCAACTGCTCTACCAGGTGTTCCTCCTTGCTGGGAGGAAGCGTAAGAAGAGCAAAACCTCCAACTACCTCATCTCCATCGACCCCACTGACCTGTCACGGGGGGGAGAGAACTTCATCGGGAAGCTGAGGTAGGAGCAGAGGTGGCACCCCATTCCTGCAGCACCCCGTTCCCACCCATGGATTACTGGTTGCTCCAAGCAATGGCTGGGTCAGACAGGAGGCTAAATTCAGCATTTCCCACTGCTGGGTCTGACCTGAGGAGTGGCAGGGGGCTGAGAGGGGAAAACAGGCTTGTCCGGTTCCTCCCAGCAGACAGGTCATGACTAGAAAAGGTGCCCAGCAAGTCCCAGCCCACTGCATCACCAGGAGCCACACAGCAGTGCTGGGGGATCCCTGTAGTGGCAACACCCCGTAACACCCTGATTTAAGGGTGCCTTGAACCACAGCAAATGACTAAGGAGTGGGAGGGATGGCACTGGTTGGGGGCTGCATCAGGGGTTTGCAGCTAGACCAAAGCAAAGCCTGTGCCTGGAGAGGGTTCACAGGGGGGCTGTGGTGGACTCAGTGGCATCAGCCATGACCATCTCTCATCCTTGGCTGCAGATCCAACCTGATGGGTACGAGGTTCACAGTGTTCGACAACGGTGCAAACCCCGACAGAGCCAATGCTGACTGGTCCAATGTGCGGCAGGAGCTTTCGGCCGTGGTCTATGTAAGCAGCAGTGTGGGAAGCCCCCCTGGACCTCCTGGGCAGGCAGCAAGGGGGTCCCAACATGCACCCCTTCACTGGGTGCTGCCCCAGGGGAGTTGCAGGGATGCAGGATGAGCTGGAGCCATCCCTGAGTCCTTGTTCAGCCCCTGTGAGTGGCTGCAGCCACTGGTGGTTGCTGGTTTTAGAGACGCGGTTTTTCCTGCAGGAGACCAATGTTTTAGGCTTCAAAGGTCCCCGGAAGATGACGGTCATCATCCCTGGGATGAATGCTGATGGTGAGAGGGTGCCCATCCGTCCCCGAAACGTAAGTCAGGGGCTAGGCTGGGTGAAACTCCTTGGGGGCTGGGTTTGCTGGGGATCACCTTGGATTTTACCAGTTTGGAGCATGGAGAGGCTTTAAGATGTCCCTGAAATTCAAGGCACTTTCCTGGGAGGTGGGAGACACAGTGTCTGTACTTTTCTCTGTGACAGATCCCATTTCCATGTGGGTACTGCTACAGAGCATCCCCCCCAGGTACACCACAGAGGGTGGCAGGCCTCTGGGGGAAGTCACCCTGACCTTGCTCTCCCTGCTCTTGCCCCTCCCCAGGATAATGACGGCCTCCTGATGCGATGGCAGAACAGAAACATGGATAATGTAATTGAGCTGCACAACAAGGCACCAGTGTGGAACGACGAGACCCAATCCTATGTCCTCAACTTCCATGGCCGGGTCACCCATGCCTCTGTCAAAAATTTCCAGATTGTTCATGGCAGTGACCGTAAGCTGGGAAGGGGGCAGGACGGGATGGGAGGATGAGGTGGGGAAGCACTGTCTCATAAACTGGCCCCAGCACCCCCTTATTTTGCCGAGGTTTAGTTTTTTCATGCTTTAGGGTCCTGCCTGCCTTTGCTGGAGCTGGGATGAAGCTGGACAGGGAGATCAGCATTGTGCAGAAGCTGCCCTTGGGCCCCAGCACTGGCAGAGGCAGCGTGCAGAGCTCCTGTTGCCACAGAGATTAGAGCAAGGACAGATCCTGTAGGGTGCTGAGCCCCCATCACACTACAGCCACCCACTCAGCCCAGAACACCCCAGAGCTTTAGCCCCAGCATGCACCCCACATCGCCAGTGGGCTCAGCCCAAGCCGCACTGTACCTTGGGGACAGTCCATCAGGGGTGGCAGCAGCTCTGTCTGGATGTGGCCACTTGTCACCTGTCTGGTACAGTCAGAAGCTCTCAGCCTCCGGGGTGTTGGGTTACTACACAGAAAGAAACCTCTTGAGGGCCTTGGTTATTTTTACAGATTTCCTGTCACCCCCCCTCCAGTAGCAGCAGTCCCACAGTCAGAGGATGGGAGTGTGGTCCCTGTCCCTTGGGGGACTGTGACTCCCAGGGAGGGGGTGCTGAAGGGACTAGAGGGTGCCGTGGTCCTTGTGCTGGACTGTGCAATGAGAAAATGATGCTTTTTGATAACATGTGCTGCAGTATGGTGCAGCCAGTGTGGGAGTCACAGGCAGAGCTTGGGGCTGGGGGGTGGGCAGCTTCTTTCAGACGCTGGGAAAAGGCAGGATGAGTGCACAGGTGACATTCCAGTTGCTCGCCCTCTTTCCCACAGCCGACTACATCGTGATGCAGTTTGGGCGTGTGGCGGATGACGCCTTCACCATGGACTACAACTACCCTCTCTGTGCTGTGCAGGCTTTTGCCATCGCCCTCTCCAGCTTCGACGGGAAGCTGGCCTGCGAGTAGCGCCTGCACTGGGCCTGCTGGGACCACTGGGACTGCCTGCCAGTGCCCGGCGGATGCTCCTTCATCCCTGTCCTGTTCCGTTCCCTGTGTTTCCACCTTCTATCCAGTGCATGGTCGCAGTCACAGTTGCTCCTGGGGTGGTTCACAGAGTATGATGCTTGCCAAGCACCATGGGATGCTCATCCAGCTGCAACCACCCTCTCCGAGCAAATTCAGGACAGATCGCTCTGGTCTGGGGTGATGGCAGAGTCAGGCCTGAGGTATATTTAGCAGATGAGGCTTACTGTGAGCCCTATCTCATCCCTTTGAGATGTTTCTTGGATTCGGATCCTGGAAACTCATCCCCCATTTTTTTTCTTTTTCTTTAGATTCTGATTTGTATTTTTATGCTCAGTCCCCCAGTGAGAGAGTGGTCTCCTTGCTCTGTGTTTTTTCGTCCCTCTGTGAGTCTGCACAGAGCCCACATGCAGATGGGCTCTGCCCAAGCTCCCAGCTCCCAGCTGGGCACAAAGCCCTTCTTTTGCCCCATTTTGTCCTGGTGTGAGTGGATGGCCAGTGCCCATGGTGTCTTTTCACCTACTGGGTCTCACCCCACTGCCCAGGAACTGTTGGGGATTTGGGTCCCTGAGAAGCAGCCTGGCACCCAGAGCACTGACAACCTATGGGCACGTGCTGAGGGATGGTGGTGCCAGTGGAGGAGGGCCAGCAGCCACGTGAGGCAGAGCTGGCATTGCTGGCAGGGGGCCCAGCTGGGTCAGTTCTCCAGGAGGGACCTGGAAGAGAAAACTGAGGGTGCACCAGGAAGCAATGGAGTGACTCATGAGGTGTGGTGTGGTGCTGAGTCACGCTCAGCACCCAGACAGGCCCTGCCAAACCCCCTGTGCCTCTACCACTCACTGCCCCTTCACTCTGCAACATCCCTCCAGACCCCACACATCCTGGGTGTCCCCACTGCTGCAACTGGCCCCACTGGTGCTCCCTGTTCATGGGGAGGTGGTGACCAGAAGGTGCCACCCCCTGTCTCAGACTGGTGGGGTATCATGGGGAGCTGCAGGGAGACAGTGAGAAGGGGAGATGCTGGAGAGGGGTTAGCTCAGTGAGAGCAGATCAGCCCATGCTCCTATTGCAGCACAATCCCACCTTTATGGAGTGAGGATTTGGCTTCAAAGACAGTCCCAAATCTGATTAATTCAGTGATAAGAAATACAGGGATATGCCAAGGTCCCCTGAAACACCGTCCTCAACTCCCTGAGCTGTTTCTCTTACCTGCTCAGCTAATGCACTGATCCGAGGACAATTTGGGCTTCCTTTCCCAGGACACATATAGGTTGTTTCCCCATTCTGGAGGTGATTGAACCCCTCAAGTTATTGCATCTGAGAGGTAGCTGGAACAGTTGGGCTGAGGAGTAGTAGATGGATGAGACAGATGTAATTGTGCAAGAGGGATGCTTGTCCTCACGGGACAGTGTTGCAACACTGACATGGCCTGAACCTGTCTCTGCGTGGAGCTGAGGACAGATGACAGTGACAGTGGGACTATGAGCTGCTGCTGAACCACTGCCGAACATCTTGCTCCGGTAGCTTTGCAGATGAGAGTGAAAATTTTCTCACCAGCTGCATGAATCCAGGCTCCATCATTCATCAGCAGATGCTCATGGCAGGGGCAGAGGGAGGTGGACAGCTTGGGGACAACGGGCTGGCATGGGACATTGTCCATTACCTGTGCAGCGAGATCAGAGACTGTCTTGTGAGCTAAAGGGAGAACCAGCCACAGCAGTTCCCCTGTGGGCAGCATCCCTCGTGAGGTATGGCCAGCAAATGTGGGGAAAGCAAGAGCTTTCTGCCCAAATCCAGCCAGGAACTCAACATCTGTTTGAAACTGGAACAAGCTCAGCTGATGGTTGAGCTAACACTTGTCCCTGTTTCCTCCAGTGGAAGCAGAAAAGAAGCAGCAGGGTGAGAGAGAGGGGTTTGGGCTCCCCAAGTTCTGGCTGGAGCACAAGCTGCTGTTATCCCAGCCATTCCCCAGGAGGATTCTCCCTCCCCTCACCCAAGAAGTCTCTGTTTTGCCGGTTGTTGCTTGCAAACCCCTCAGGTTTCCTGGCCTGTAGCCTAAGCAGAGCAAAATATCTGCCTTGGGTGTCCAACACAATGTCACCCCATCTCTGAGCCATCACTGCATCAGTCGCCCACCCCAAATCCCTTAGACAAACCCTCTAATGCAAACCAACTGCGGCACAAGAAACAAATGAAAACAATTTAAGAGGGCGATGGATATTCGGGCCTTTTGTTTGCGCTGGCTGTTAACACCAGAGGAGAGGAGGGATGGAAGCAGTTTAAATGTGTATCTACTTTGGCCCGGCGGAAAGTGTGAGGGATGCGCTAGAAGACCAATGGCTGGGGTGTGTGTGGGTGTGAAAGGAATGCTTGCTGCAAGAAAAGAGGAAAAAAAAGAGAAGAAAGAGCCTTATCAATGGTGTTTGAGCCCAAAGTGTGTGTGTTCCTTGGAGAAAGGGTTTTCTCAATCCCCAGGGATGATATTTTCCCTGCATGAGACTTTGAGGCTTCTGAAGCTTCATTTTAGGGTGCTGGTGTTAGGCTGGTGCTACAGGGATGGCCAGAGGCAATTGTCGTCAGCTCCTCAAGGGAACCTCCTGGGAAATGCATTTTATTTTCGTAGAGATGCTTATAAGGCAAAGGGGAGGAAAAAAAACAAGGCTCTATGATGCTGAGCACGTGTCCCTGTCAGGACCAGTGTTGCTGTGGTGCCAGCACCTCTCTCAGGTAGTGGCTCTCATGAGTGGAAATATGCTGGTCTAGAGCTGATCAGGAAGATGGATCTGGGAGGTTCTTCTCCAGTCGCTTGCTACTCCCTCTTCCCCAGACCTCTGGGGCTCAGTGGGCTCAATACACCCAGCCCTGAGTAAAGGCTTAGCCCCTGCAGTCTTTGGGGAGCTGACAGATATTTTCCAGAAGGCAAATGCCCCATAGGGCAGGCAGCTGAAAAGGGAAAGGGTTGGTGCATTCCCAGAGAGTGCAGGAGGGGAGGCCAGCACTGGGAAACTCCCTGTCCAGCAATGGAAGGGCTGGAGCTGTTTGGTTCCCAGCAAGTTGCCTAGCAAAGAACAGCGTCTCAGCCCTGGGGGCTCTCTCTCCAGCTTTGAAGTGGTGATACATTAATTAATTAAAGAAGTGATTGTGACGAGGTGTTTTTCTCTTCTCTTCCCTTTCCCTCCCCTTGTATTTATTTTGGTGACTTTTTTTTTGAGGGAAAGGCAAGGTAAGCTGGGCTGTGGCTTTGCAGGATAGGCTCCTTCTTAGTGCAGCAAGCAACAGGCAGCAATGGGAAAGCTAATATTTTTCAACTGCTTTTTAAAAAGGAGTCATTTTTTAATTAGTGAATCCATTCTGGAGAAGTGTTGGAGTTTTACAGTGTTGTAGCTGTTCTTGGTGTCTTGCCTAGACTTGGATGTTCTGGCCATAAGAAAATATTATTTATGGCATTGCAGCTTGCAGCTCTTTTATATTATAATTTGGGAAAGGAAGTTGCTTGTTCCCACCAGTGGACAAAAAAATAGCAGAAACAAGGATTATGGACTTCTGAAGCAGAGAAAAAAAAAATTAAGAGGCAGAACAGAAACAAACCACTGAGCTGGGCTTGAATCATTGCACTCCAGAACAAGCTCATCCCAGCACTGCTAGCAGTTGCATTGGATGCTGAAGCGAGACCCCTGCCTGCTCAGCAGGCCCAGAGCAGCAGCGACCCCCTTGGTACTCCCCTGCACAGCATTACATGTGTTCCTAAACATTTGCAGATCAGGCTTTTATTCATGGGCTAATGCACACTTGTTTGCTCATGCCTTACTCAGCCCAAACTACTATTGAACTCAATTAAGGCTGTCATCTCCAGGAGCACTCAATGTCATTTTTGCCCAAGTAAGGGATGAGTAACGAGGCTCTGAACAGTCCTTGGAGAATAGCAGCCATTTTGTTACAGTTTTTAGTCCAGATTTCTTACAAGTTAACACCAGGCCAAGGGTGGAAGAATGCGATATGGCTTTATGAATCACACACAATTGCTGAATGTGCTGGATGCTTCAGAGCCTGTCACTTCATGGGCTGAAGAGTTGGCTTGTCCCAAAATGCTTGAATACAACCAAGCTCATCACAAAAATTAGAAAAATATGTTTCTAGAAGGGATGGGATGCAAAGAGGATCCCATCTCCAAGCAAGGCAATGGGAGGATTCCTCTCTGTGGGTTTTGAGTACCGCGGCACAGGTCTGTGCTGCATATCTTCATCCGGCAGGACCAGAGGTTTTGCCCCTATTGGGGCTGTGGCTCCCGACAGTGGGGCTGGGTTGTGGCCAGGGACTCGTATGCCATCAGCCAGCTGTGGCTTAGCACGTTTCCATCCATCAACTTGCTCAGAGGAAATGACCAGGCTTGGCTCCTGGATGAGTTCCCTTGGGAACTCATTACAACAGCGTGGGCTGAGATCCCCATCCTGGGTACCATGGGGTGGGTGTCTGGGAGAGATGGGGAATCTGCAGTCTAGTGGGATGTGGGGGACTGAGTATATGTGAGGATAAGGAGAGGGATGAAGGTCTTGGGAGGGTGTTGAAGATGTGAGATGGGAATAAGGAAGAGGATGACGATGTGCAGCAGGGCACTAGAGTGTGCAAAGGACAATGAAGATGTGCAGAAGGGGATGAAGGTGAGCACAGGGACAAAGGTAAGTGCAGGGGTGAAGGTGAGTGCAGGGGGGCACGGATATGCAGAGCAGGATGAAGGTGAGCACAGAAGCTATGAAGGTGTTCACGGGGAGCCCTGGCCGGCTGGGGACGGGACGGGACAGGACAGCAGCACCCTCATGCCCCGGCCCGAGGCTGCATCCCGCGGCCGCAGCCCGAGGCTGCCGGACGGAGAAGGAGGAAGAGGAGAAGGATAGTGAGGAAGGTTCATAGAGGGCGCTCCTAGAGACCGGGCCGAGCCGAGCTCC